CCAGTTTCTTGGTTGATTTTCCTCACAACTTTTACATGTGACACAGACTCGTGATCAATTTTGTAATAAGTGATTGATATTAATTAACTGGATTATTTTGCCTTAATTAATTTGTCATATTTAGTTTTTTATTAACAAATTAGTCTTTTTCTGATAAACTGTCGGTTTTATTGCTTTTATTATGTTCTTTTTCAATTCTGCATCCTAAGAAAAATAGAAAACGACACCCCACTTGCTTGGATCCCATAAATAAAAATTTCTCAAAATCACTACCCCCATAAACTTAAAACCCTATAAAATGGTACTTCCACCCCCACAATCACTAGGGACTCTTCAGATTCCAATACCTAATGGTAATTACTACGTTTCCTGCAAGTTTCATAAATGGACTAATTTTTATGTTTTCTTAGGTGAGTTTTACCTGTACTATATGTATACTTATAAAAGGCAAAGCCCTCACTGACACACTCACTCTCACTCACTCATCATCACTAATTCTCCCACTTCCCATTTACCTAGGAGGCTGAAATTCGATACACCGATTCTTTGGGCATTAAATAGGAAAACTGAGTAATTTTTATTATGATAGGGCATTTGAGCTTCGCCCCAGTGGCTCTGGAGTTTCCCATGTTAACCTTATGATTTTTTATATTTAAATGGAATAAATGAATCTTAACAGCTGTATCAATTAAACAATTTATGACAACAGCTAATTTGCAACCAAAAGCTGAGTGAGCGTATCGAACGAACTTCAACCTGGACGTGATTGAGCCATGCGAACGAGCTCATCTTGAAAATTAATTAGTTAAACGGGGCAAAGCCAGCGGGTACAGCTAGTTATTCTATAGACTTATTAGGTTTTTAGCGAATTTCGCATATAGGGAATAAGCTATTACCGTAGTACTCATGGCAACACCTGGACCCGGGACCGATGTAATTTTTCGTTTTGAGTCCCTAGAGTCCAAAAACACCATCCGTTCAAATTCATATATGTAAGTGTATAAGACATTTTGGGGGACTTGACTTTTTCGGGTCTCAAGAATTTATACGAAAATACACTATTGAAATATTTTGAGGACTTGAATTTCCGTATGTGTATAAGACATTCTGGGCACTTGACTTTTTCGGGACTCGAGAACTTAGTACTTTTCGAGGACCTGTGCAAATTATTCCATTCCAAATGCAGCGCGTTATCGATCTTCACCCTTGTGTGGGCCTCCCATTCACTGACGGAATGTCTCGTGGCGAATGACGACCGGATATAAATAGTCACTTTACACTCACTTATCTCGTTATTTTTTCAGCATATTCGTTGACGCGTCTGCAGGTCTTATGTTGACGGGCTGTCAGAGCGTCTGTTGCAATAACTGGAATTCCTTATGACGTATGTTTGCTGCTGATTACGGTGAAGTATTGTTAGAAATTCCACCTAATCTTTAAAGTTACCCATTAAATTCGTAGAAATAATAATATTTAACTGTTTGACGAGTATCCCTATTATATTCAAAATACTAAACGGCCCAACCCAATATTTAATACAAGCCAAAGGTGTCTTATAGATTCCGAGTAAATTATTATAAACTATCAAATGGAGCATGTAAAGTGCATTATAGATAATCAACAAAACCCCAACATAATTGACTATAGATTCAGTTACTGATTCGAAAATTACAATTGCTGATGATAACTGAATGCTCTGACCTGAAGCAGTGTTCTTCTTTACTTCTTTACCTATAAAACACATGGGATACAGCCTTTCTTCACTGATCACGTAATGCGTGATTTTCTATAAAGTCTTGGAAAAATAAAAGGAAAAATAGATAGAATACAGGTGTACTGTATGTGGTTTACACACAAATATTCATCAAACTGTGTGATAGTTTGTTATAGAAATGAACAATTTGAGAGTATCGTATTGTTCAAGTCGATGGAAAATCTCTGTTGATCCTGTTTTACAAGCAAACCAAACAGATACAGTAGTCACCACTCTATGCGACATATTCTAACCAGAAAATTGTAATCGTATGATTCTATAAGCATTGGTAGGATTGCAAAGTACTACACAAACATTATTTCAAGGGTAATAACAGTCACAATTTCCGCTGACCAAAAGAGTCAACTAAACTATTATACTAATGGACACACAACTAAATGGAACAACTAATGGAAATTCTCACGAAGTACATTCGTTCGATATAAGCATTGAGTATACACGTCAGTACATACGTGTATACCCAATGATATAAGCAACGGTTCTTGCAATTTATTGCTTATTGTTTTTTAGAGTTGTTTTCGGACTTACTCTGTTTTCGGACTTACACTCGTATAAGGTTTTCCACGTTTGTCATTGATAATGTTGCCATGTTGCTTTGAAATGGCGACCATACAAATGTATGCATTTTAAGCCAAGTATGAATGGAGATGAGTGTGGGATGAGTGGAGCGATCTTGTTGTCCTGTTTGTGACTAAGGCCGACATAATCCTTAGACACAGCTGTTAATTAATTGTGTATACAGTCAATTAATAGCAGCAGAGGTCAAGTTTGGTATCAAATTAAAGGTTTTATTCATAAAAATACATTGCCGCAAACCCAAACTCAAACGATGATGATGATAATAATGTTAATGATGTCGCTAAAACGTATCGTTTGAAATTTAACAGCTGAAAATAAGTTAAATAGAAAAGGTTTTGGTTAAATCCATCAAATTGTAATTGGACACTAGTAAATACTAGTGCACTTGTTGCTACCTCCCCCCTTCGGTTTCATGTATTCCTCTCAATCAGTTCAAACATAGGAGGATTAAACATTAATGTTACCTAATTAATGTTAAATCCTCCTAGATTCAAACCTGAAACACCCAGATCGAAACTCGCCTGTCGTTATTTTACCATCATTCGCCTTTTTTTAAATATATTTTTCAAAAAAGAAAGATTATATTGATTTACTTTGGATTTTAAAAATGATAACGTTTTATTTTGTTAAAGATTTATGGTGATACGTAAATATTGTGGTGTAGTTAAGTATATTATATTGTAGTTAAGTGTTAAATTTTGAAATTTTAGGGTGAATCGAGATGAATCTTTTTTTATAACATGGGTCTCTCCTACCTTAACATACATACCAAGTTTTATAAACATCGGTTGGAAAAGTGCAAAGATAAATATTTGTATGTAAAAAATACAAAATGGTGGATATCTGGTTAACGAAACGATTTCGGAAAAAATGTTATCCTTGATTTTCAGTTTATTTTGACCCAAGGAATTACTAGGTAAAGTATCTCCCCGCTTATTTTTAACATCCTGTTTATGATGTATTCTTATAAGTGAAAAATGTAAGCTGGTAATACAGAAAGATGTTTTATAAATAACTAGCTGAACCCGGCAGACGTTGTCTTGCCTTTGACTATCTATAATTTAAGTACTGTAACGTTTAATTGTCTTATTGTATATGAAGTGCTTATAACTAAATTAAAATACGTACAACAACTAATGAAACACATATAGTACAAAGGATAACCGATTCTTGATTATTTTTCTTATATTAATGCTAGTGGGTAGACAATATTTTTGGTCTTTCTAGTCGGCTCAATCACGTCCTGGTTGAAGTTCGTTTGCTACGCTCACTTACCTTAAGGTTGGAGCTCGTTCGCTACGCTCACTCACCTTTAGGTTGGAGCTCGTTCGCTGCGCTCACTTGCCTTCAGGTTAGCTCGTTCGCTACGCTAACTCGCCTCCTGGTGCAAATTAGCTGTTATCATAAATGTAAAAGAAATAATAGTGCTGCACCCTGTTGGTAATCCTTGTAACTTTTAATGCTATTGAACATCATAGAACAGAACCAACTTGTTTAATTGAAACAGCTGTTAAGATTCATTAATTCCATTTCTCATAAGGTTAACATGGGAAACTCCAGAGCCACTGGGGCGGAGCCTATTGGACGGATCACGAAATTGATGGTGTATAAACCTATTCCATGACATTCTACACGTATGTACCAAGTTTCGTGGCAATCGGTTCAGCGGTGTCCGAGTTTATCACCCCCAAACAAACAAACAAATATATATACAAACATCCTCTTTTATATATATAGAAGACTAGCTGAACCCGGCAGACGTTGTCAAGCCTTTAACTATTAAATAATTTTCTCAGCATTAAACTATTGATTGTTTTATTTATTTAGAAATAATAAATGTTTAACCAAATCGTACAAAGTAATAAAACACGTGTTGAACATAAGACTACTTTTTTTAATCAGCGCAAAGCAAGTGGATAAACAACATTTTTTGTCTTCTTGTTTGGAGTGTATATATGTAAGTTTGCTGGCGATCCCACTCTAGAACAACCAACGTAAAGTTGGCCATGCGAAAAACATGGATTTGTTAAGTTTAACCCCGCAACACGCAGTGACTGCCCTTGGGCTTTATTTACTGTCATTGCATAAGCCAAACGCACTGGAAATTGAAGCCTTTTGAAGGTTAACGGCATGTCAGAGGGAAACATCGGAATCCGTGGTATCAACACATTCTCTCCTTTGCATTTACCACATAATATAGTTGCTTCGATTAGATTTGGCATTAGTTTTTTTACAGAGAGTCTGGTCCCGTTGCATAATTTTGGAGTGTTCAAATTTCGAAGGAGCAATATTGGTGAACCAACTTTCAAAGACAATACGTGTGGTGGCATTCCAGAAGGCTCTAATGAATTGAGAAATTCTATAGGATAATTAACAGCTTGATCTTCTTCCAAATTTGTGTCAATCGATTTATAATCAGTTATAACACCAGGAATTTTCAATTGAAGCTTCAGATTAATTCTATTTACATCATCATTTTTTGGAGCTAAGATAGCTCTCTCGCTGAGCCAATCACGATTTTTGAAGTTTGTGGCTATGTTTGGAAAAACATTTTTTTCAAGATCCTCTATTGATTTCTGAAGTTGGCAAAAATTTGTGGGGAAGGATACTTCTTGTGTCAATGCATCTACTTGAAATTTCCCATTACCTAGATCTAAAAGCTGTTTAGCAAAATGTTCTGCCGAATCATCTTCAAGCAAGTGAACGCGCATATTGGTCGAGAGTGTTATTTTTTTCACATACCTCCATAAGACAGAATTCTTAAGGCAAGCGTTAAGCTCATCAGCTGGAGTTGACCTTGGTATCACAGGCAATGTTTGACGGAAATCGCCGGCAAGCAGTATTAGTGCACCACCCATTGGCCGTTGATCATTCCTGAAATCTCGCAAAGTGCGATCAAGTGCCTCAAGTCCTTTCTTATGGGCCATGGTACACTCATCCCATATAATAAGTTTGCATGTTTTAAGCACCGTTGCCATTCCAGATGTCTTACTGATGTTGCACGGAGTTTCTGTAGCTTGATTCAAATTCAAAGGCAACTTGAATGCCGAATGTGCTGTTCGTCCTCCATCAAGTAATGTGGCTGCGATGCCAGATGATGCAACAGCCAGAGCAATGTTCTTGTTCATTCTAATTTCGGCAAGTATTAAGTTTAACAAAAATGTTTTTCCTGTGCCACCTGGTGCATCGATAAAAAGAAGGCCTCCATTACCAACTCGTATATGCTGCATCACTGTGTCGTATGCTAGCTGTTGGTCGTCTGTTAGTTTATGTTTATGAATTTCAACGTACACTTTTAGTGCAGCGAGGTCGTACTGTGTTTCCCTCAAAAGCTCTTTATCAATAACATCGTTTCTATTATTTCTCTCTGGTGAAAGTAGCCCAAGTTCATTGAGGATTTTGTTGTTAATAGAAATACACATGTCCTCAAGTGAAATTAAAGCTTCATTAAAGATGTTTTCCGTATACTGAACCTCCTGGTCGGGGTTGTCTCTGCGAACTCGAAGGAGAATGTCTTCGCTCATACTTTCTTTGTGCCTTTCCCAAAGGTCATGTGGATTTGAAGGTGCGCAGGTAGTTAGGATTATAGCAAATAGAGTCCGTATCTGGTGGGGATGACGTGTTTCAGACGCCTCAGCCAATGTATTGTTCCAGTATAAGTCACATTCAAGCAATCCAAGTTTGGAACATGCTTCTCTGAACGTCTGACAAACTTGCCCTTCAACGATTTTCAGATCTTGAAATGAAGTTGGTCCTTTAACTACATGGAGCAACATTCTCAGATAGTAGCACTCACTGTTACTTGGGTGCACTGTGTACACTCGTCCCAGTGTGCCAGTAGAATATATGCCATCTACTTCAGGGTGATGAACACCTCGTTTTCTTTTGCAAAACTTCTTAGTTCTGGGATTCCAGGTATAGTAATGCGGAACTTCATGATACAGTAAAGTTTTTGCAAATTCATCAGCTCTACACAACTCGAAAAAGGCAGTCAAAGTTGTGTTTGGTGGGTCTACGGCTCTCTGGGCGACATTCTCTTCAGTGAAGTATACTCGTTGGCCGTTTTCTAAATGCACGCTGAGATGCATGACGGCAGGAAAGCGTTCATGGATTTCAAAACCAAGAATTCGCCACACAGCCTCATTGCTACTAATGTAACGCCCCATTAGGAATTGGTCGATTTCATCATTAGGCACGTTAGGATTACCAAATCCAAAAACAGCCATGTCACTACCTTTATTCACATATTTACATATGTACTTGATTGATTTAACTGAGTTGCAGTATTCTACGTTAATATGCGCGTTGAATGTTTTCAAAAGCAATGGAGAGTATGGCACTATCCACTGGTTATTTGTCTCAAAATCCATGTTTTTAATCTTGATATTTGTTGTGAAACCTCCTTCTTCTGGGATTCTTCGTCTGTACTGCGGATATCCATCTCCACCAGTCTGTGTCTCTTTGTACATAGCACGTGGATACTTTTTGGTACATTTTCCGTCTTTCATGCATGGTGAATGTGGGTTGTGTAATCCACATGGTCCGTGAATCATATTTTTTCTTACTATTTCAAATAGTTCTGGATCCTCCTCTGGATTTGGAAGCTCGGCAGATATGATGTCATCAATTTGAGTAGGGACAATCTTTTCAACCAACCATATTAATACGTGTGCATGTGGCAGACCTCTTTTTTGCCATTCTACTGAGTACATCCAGCATCGAGTTTCCCCATATATATGGTTTTTGGTGATTATGTCAATAAAACGTATCAACTTTTGTTTAAAAACTCTTGCTGTGATATCATGCCGATGACATGGTTGCTGGCCTGGAAGCAGTAAATCTGTGATTTCCTTCCAAGATGGATTACAGGTAAACGTTATAAAGAGATCAGGTCGTCCATATTTTCGAACATATGTCAATGCATCTTGTGCATACTCATGCATGTGTCTTGGACTTCCTGTGTAAGAGGACGGAAGGATAACTTTCTGACCAATATCAGCAGCTACTCCATCATTGGCGACTGCATCTCGCAAATGAATATAATCTTCGACCCGAAGCTTAGATTGGTTGAAACGAATATAGTTTAAACGTTCACTTTCAACTTTAGCGTACATATCAACAATAAATTGTTGGAAAAGTTGACGGCACATTAGAATGTGGTTAGTCTGTTGATCTCTAATCATGATACGATATGCATAAAAAGCTTTGCAACTTACTTTTTTGGTAGTTGCTGCGCCTGTTGTGGGGTTGGTTTGATATAGTTCGAGATTATATCCATCTTCTCCTCGTGGAAACATTATTGGGTACTGAAGGGCGTCATAGGATCTATGTGTTTCAGAAACTCGTTGCTTTGTTTCGTCGCGCATGCTGATAACAATATCTCGTCTGGTAATTTCCGTTCCAACAATCACAGCTCCTACTTCAGGGGCCATTTGAGCATTGAAACGTCTTGCATGTTCATGTAATGGTGCTTTATCTGCCCTGATAATGACTTTAAAGTCGTCTTCTCTCGCATTTTCCAATGCAGATTTAAAATCTCTGACCAGACTGTTATGTTCATGAAATGATGCTCGTAACTCAGCAATAATTTCCCTATTTGTTGCTAAACTAAATGCGCATCGTCGATCAAGCTCTTCCTCTACATTGTCGATGAAATAAATTTGCAAAAACTGAGGATCTTCTTGAGGTAGTGGAAGAAGTGAACCTATTTGATGGTACACTTGCCCTTGCACTTTGAATGTGGGCATAAAATTTCCATATCTCACAATACTGGATGCACCAAACGAAGTCATTTGGAAACATGAGTTGTATTTACGAATATGTTGGAGGAAGTGTTTGGACTCCCGGGAAACACCAGCAATGTAGGTTTGAAGGGGTTCAGGTGGCTCAGACAATGGTGGCAAATTTACTTTCCCATTCGAGCAACACATACCGAGCGACTCTTTTTGAAACTTCAAAGCATGGCAGTATGGGCATAAAGTAGTCATTAAACCAATTGCAATGTCGCGATGTATTTTGTAGTCATACGTTTTATCGTATTCGAACGCAGCTTTATTGAGATCTCCTCTTATTCTTGTTTGAATTTGACGTAAACGTTCAGTCTCACGTCGAACCTGTAGATCTTCAGGTGTTTCCGCTGCTCTCGATGTTGAAGCGCGCACTCGCAGATCTTCTATACGTTCGTCTCGCTGCTCAGGTGTTTCCGCTGATCTCGATGTTGAAGCGCGCACTCGCAGATCTTCTATTCGTTCGTCTCGCTGCTCAGGTGTTTCCGCTGCTCTCGATGTTGAAGCGCGCACTCGCTGATCTTCTAATCGAGCGTCTCGCTGCTCATGTGTTTCCGCTGCTCTCGATGTTGAAGCGCGCACTCGCTGATCTTCTAATCGAGCGTCTCGGTCCTCAGACGTTTCAGCCGCTCTAATTGCTGCATGTTGCCGTGCTTTTCTAGTTGTTCTGCCAATATTTGATTTTTTGCGTGGCATTTCATCTATAAGTATAAAATAAAATCCCCCTTTGTTTACTTTTATGTAAACAAATTATTTTTAAACACATGATATTTACTTTTTTATCAAACATATGTTCTTTTTTAATATAAAATGAGAATCTATATATTTTATAATTAAAATTGAATCCTTAGTTATTTCAGTGTTATACTTAGTATGCTGTAGAATTAGCTAGATTTAATATTTAGAGTTCTCCTGCTGATCTTCTAGTGTTTATTGATCTATTGATTTGGGTTATTTTATTACAATACACTCGTTCGCTGCGCTCACTTGCCTTCAGGTTAGCTCGTTCGCTACGCTAACTCGCCTCCAGGTTGAAGTTCTCCTGCTGATCTTCTAGTGTTTATTGATCTATTGATTTGGGTTATTTTATTACAATACACTCGTTCGCTGCGCTCACTTGCCTTCAGGTTAGCTCATTCGCTACGCTAACTCGCCTCCAGGTTGAAGTTCGTTCGCTACGCTCACTCACCTTTTGGTTGCAAATTAGCTGTTGTCATAAATGTAAAAAAATAATTATAGTGCTGCACCCTGTTGGTAATCCTTGTAACTTGCTATTGAACATCATAGAACAGAACCAACTTGTTTAATTGAAACAGCTGTTAAGATTCATTAATTCCATTTCTCATAAGGTTAACATGGGAAACTCCAGAGCCACTGGGGCGGAGCCTATTGGACGGATCACGAAATTGATGGTGTATAAACCTATTCCATGACATTCTACACGTATGTACCAAGTTTCGTGGCAATCGGTTCAGCGGTGTCCGAGTTTATCACCCCCAAACAAATATATATACAAACATCCTCTTTTATATATATAGATATGAATGTACTGGTGATCTGTATATTCATCTTTTTCTTGTTCTTAGAACTGTAAATTAAAAGTCCACTCAGCAGTCGCACCGTACGATGTAGTTCTTTCCATGCGTTGCGAAATGCTAAATTTGCCGTCCTCTTCAACCCAAGTTATCTATTGAACCACTGATTGTAAAAAATTAAAAAAAAATATATTTTACGCATCACACTTTTGGCTACAACTTTGCTACAGACGAAACCTCTCTAACCCAAAAAAAAAAAAAAATCTCGCATGCTAACTTTTTCATGTTAGAAATCACGATTTAAAACTATTTCACCATACATATAAATTTTTATTGATTAGATCGGTAAATAGTTTAACGTTCCAACAAAATAGTCATCGAGTAGGACTAACCAAGAAGCTCTGTGCCAATTTTCAAAGTACACCAAAACACGAAATTATTTAAGTCATGCGTCGAGAGGACTATCGTTGTTTTTAACAGATTATACTTTTGACCTTCCGGCACTGTTGACTCAGCGAAACTGAACTTATATTTTATCTTATTTCGTTATATTAAAACTGCTGTTGCATTAGGTCAAATTCCCAATAAGTCAATTGCTTTAACATAGACCACGTTTTTAGCTCGGACTGTACTATTTGACTTACTGGGATTTTTGATCTACAGACACTGCAAACATTGTAGTTTTTGACCTAGCGGCACAGGTATAAATTATTTGACCTTCCGGGACTGTTGACTTTCTGCAACGCGTCCACCGTTATAATCTTTAAACTTATTTTATTAATAGATTTTTGAAGATGGGAACAACTGGGAACACAGCTATACAAAATAGTATATCCTATATTCTAATATGGAGCAATGTTTGCACCAAGATCTCGAAAACGGCTCCGACGATTTTCTTCAAATGTTGTAAATAGTTTATTCCTGGCCTAAAAACGAGTTAACTGCAGTTAGAACTGCCAACAAAAATCTAATTACGTAGAAAAATGAAACTGAAAGTCACATTGTTTTGACATTAGTCTTATGGGTTCCTAAGTAACCATCTTGGCTGAATTAAATAACAACGTAAAAGTAAACAGAAGACTTGTAAGTTGTCTATCAACAATATAATAGCAAATTAAAAATACAGTACAAAAGGAATTACATCAGTTGTTACTTTTGAGCAAAGGTTATACTGAAGATTACTCGATACATTGTAGTCAAGGGTAGCAGTGTGGAGTGTGGGATCTGTTTGTGATGATTAGATTATGGTATCTGCAATCCTTAAACGCTATGGGAAGGGAAGGAAACAGAGGTCAGCGACGTGACGTAGGAAGTGATGAAGGAAGTAGTAAAGGTATGCAGTCTGGAGTGTGGGAACTGTTTATGACGATTAGATTAAGGTATCTGCAATCCAAAAACGCTATGTGAAGGGAGGAAAATAGGTCCGCGACGTAGGAAGTGGTGAAGGAAATAAGTCAATGCGAGCAGTCTGGAGTGTGGGAACTGTTTATGACGATTAGATTAAGGTACCGGTATCTGCAATCCAAAAATGCTATGGGAAGGGAGGGAAACAGGTCCGCGACACAGGAAGTGGTGAAGGAAATAGTAATGACGAGCAGTCCGGAGTGTAGGAACTGTTTATGACGATTAGATTAAAGTATCTGCAATCCTAAAATGCTGGGGAAGGGAGGGAAACAGCAGTGTGGAGTGTGGGAACTGAAAACAGTTTGTGGCAGTTAGAATAATGTATCTGCAGTACTGAAATGCTATAAGAAGGGATGGAAACATGTCCACGACACAGGAAATGGTGAAAGAATTAGTAAAGGCTAGCAGTGCGGAGTGTGGGGAATGAATGTATCTGCAATACTAAGACTGCTTTCAGAGTAAACTAATGATTTTCCCCGCGCAAAGCTTGGTCCTCAGGTACCATATATTAACCAAAATATCATAAAAGATTACAGCTTTTGATGAGATGCAAATGTAACTTTGTAGATGACTATGGAAAGCTGTTTAAAAGTTCATACAGGTTAGAACAATACTCTGGTGTGGACTAAAGTCTCCACTAGTGAGTACTACGACTCTCCACAGTACTATCCTGAAAATTAGGCCAATTTGTTAATTGCAAGGCAAAAAAATTGAGTTTGGATTCCACTATAAACTGTAGGTCCTTTGCCATTAGTTGTTTGGGCTATTAATTAACGGCTGTCTTAGGAATACGTCGTCCTTAGTCACTAACAAGACTAAGTACAACAGCTGGGTCTTTTTATAGCCACCACAAAGCTGCCGACTTTCCTCCAATTAAAACAAGGTGTCGTTTTTTACCTCCGTATATGAAGGTCGTTGAGTCGTCGACCTTCATATACGGACGTAAATAAAATCACCTTGTACGGCCTGAAGATGGTTCCTAGTTCCTAGCTGAACTGAACTGAAACTATAGTTGCCACAAGCAACTAGTTTAGATTACTGAATGCAGGTACTTAAACCATAATAAATATTCAAACGTAATCCGGAGGCTAACAACAACAACTCTTTAAAATGATATTTCTTTTCAAATTTCACTGTTTAGTATAGAAGAGAGTATTTGTTTTTGTACATTCTTGAATTTATTTTTCTGTTATAGGAACAAAAAGAAGTACCTTAGCTCCCCAATGCACGTACTAATACAGTCAACACAAATAGTGTACACAGCAGACCAAAAGCAACAAAAATGGCCACGTCAGAATCAATCAAAGTTAACTTATAAATTCACAAATGTAAAGTATTGGGATGGGACAAGAGTGAAAAATAAATGGTCGCCATACTGGATGCAACATGTATTTAAATCACAATGGTTGAGAAATTTTGCCTTTGAAACATATTTTATATATTAGTCTGAACAGCTAAATTTAAAAATTGGCGTAATCTAAGATCAGAACCTATGTCAGTTTTTACAATCCTTACTAAAATAAAATAATTAAGTGATAGCAAAATAATGAAACAAAATAACCAAACTATATACCCAAAATAGATTATTGGTATAAAAGTGTACAGAGACTAGGGGTTTTAAACACATAGCTATTTTCATGTTTATTTTTATTCCAAATTTTATTTGATCTCACTAGTGATTTCAACCAAAAGTAAGTTTGTTATTAATCTCCTTATCTTTAAATTATAACCACTGCTGAATTGTAAGTCCTATGAAAAGTTAACATTTAGTAAACATTTCCTATAAAGATGTTTTTGAATATATCTTTTCAAATAATTGTAAACATTACATGTATAACTTTGTTTATGGCTTGTCTTACATTATACATTTTCTCAACTTAGATATTTCACCTGAAGACAATAAACTGCAATTGATTTATCTTATATTGTATACAATTTTTGTAATATTTGACATAGATACCAAGTTCAGTTTAACACAATTAAAATAATAGTAGGTAGAATATTATTTATTATGATAAGAGTTATTAACCTGCACATAGAATTTTTTAAACAGGATCAAACGATCAAAATGTAAATTTAAAAATACACGAGGATGTAAATATAAATATTTCAATCAAGATACAGTGCATCAATAATGTTGGGTCAATGAGCCTTAAATCCCAACAACATCAATAGTGTGGTTTAAGTATTATTAATGTAAATAATAAGAACAGAAATAAATATACAACGCATAAATAAAAAATCTCCTCTCAAAATAAATAGTTAGTTTTGTTCATGAAACATACATATAATTACATTCTGGAAGTCGTTCACTGGTCTACAATCAATAAACAACAAACAAAGTACAAAGTAAATACAAACAGTAAATACATTACAATATTCTATAACAACAAGGACAGTTTGTTTTATACACAAAATCTAGAATGTTTCAAAGTATAAAATGTTAGGTCAAATGATGATGATTAAAGGACTAAACCAATTTTAAGATAAATAACTGTAAAAATAGTACAATTTAAAATTGTAAATAAATGGAATTGTTTACCTGAGTAATGTTTTTTTTCTCATTTACCTAGATGAAATATTTCTCCTAGCATATTTCAAATCCTTGACTATTACCATATATTTATCATCTTAACCCATTCCCGCCTAAAAATGGGCGGAACCGTCCTAGCGTGTCAGGTTATGAAAGACTAAGGACGCGCAGCGCCCGTCCTCACCCATAATGCATTATTATATGTTATTATTAGGCTTATTACCGGTATGCATTATTATTTTCCCAATGTTATAATTAGTTGCGAAAGTAATATAATTATCCTTAGACTATTATTTCCCATTTATTTCAATACTCCCAACACTTTATCTTAGTACACATGAAATTTTGGTGCAAAAATTGTATTAGGCCTAGGCCTATTTTGCCGTTTAGCATAGTTAGTTTTACAAAAATAGCTATAAAATGAAGGATTTTATATATAAACAAACCAAATGAAGTTTTTTGTGTAACAAATTGAATACTATTTATAAATAATAAAAAATAGACTTAACAAATTTTTTATTTTTATTTTTTGAGGTTTGTTTGTTTGCATATATAAAAATGCATAATGTATTGAAAATTGCTAAAAAAATATTAGTTATTTAAAATTAGTGTCATATGAAAGGAAATTTTATGTAGATCAATTTAAGCACAAGTGTTAGGCATTTATTTCATAAATTATATTTTTAATGAATTTTTTACTAAAACATGGTACATTGGCCCTTTTTTACTCAGTTCTAACTGCATGACACTTGACAAATAACTCAGTCAGGAATGGGTTAAGATATCATTTTTGGTTCAGATTGCTGTTTAAATCTATATACATTAATACTTTACAAAATGTATCTACATATAATAGAGGTGCATAAGTTTAGAATAGTTAGACATAAACACTTAAGTTCAGTTGAATTTGTAAGTAATTTGCCTTAATTTTTGAGGTAACAAATTTCACACCTTATAATTTCAATTTCACAGAGGGTAAAAGCCCTAAAACAAATCAACGAAATGCCTAGAAATTATGACGGATACAAAACCAGTTTTAATAGGTAGCCAATACTTTTTCTCCTAATTTTCTTGCGCTTTCAGTCTAGATGAATTATTAATGCACAATTTGACAACATATAATCAAGATAGAAACACAGCTATGGATTAACTGCTTAAAAACTTGTGCTTCATATAAGAAAAATACGTCAAGATACCAACTAGGTTAAAAATTGTATTTCAAATGCAACTTCAAATCACTAAACTTAAACACTTCTATAAAATTGTTTATACATATATTAACAAACTTTATATACAGCTATGTTACACAGGAAAGTCAGTGTTATAGGTTATCTTTGAGCTTTTCCAGTTCGATCAGGTCGTTAGGGTGAAGACTACTGACTCGAGGAACTACCACTAGACCGCACTGCATACCCGCGGCCAACCAAACGAAACTGTTCATGTTTTGGTTCCAAGATACCTGCAAAATATTGTGATTTACTGATAAAAGGTAAACCTCAGACTAACAAAAGTATTAAGAAAAGTACGTACTAATCTAAACTAGGCCCTACCTATTGTGGCCTTATAGACATCATCATCTTATCCCGCAGTCTAGTAGTTACCGCACAGCAAAAAATTAATTATTAGATGTCATAGATAAGATATGGTACCTAGGCAAATGTAGGTATTGACTAAATGAAAAGACACAATGGTTTATACATACTAGTTTATACTTTTACATTAGTTTAGTTAGTTGGTTTCTTACATGCAACTATTGAGTTGAGTATTCATTGAGACATCATCATCGTCTCCTGCGGTAACGGAAATGTCATAGTCGTCATGCACTATTGCCACAATAGCAGTAAGACGTGTCGGGGAATTGGCATCATAATCGACATTGAGTGGTTGGGGGATATCGAGAATTGACTTTTGGAATCAACCTATTCCTAATTTAAATGTTATAAAATGTCAAACCAGTAGATGTATAATCAAACAAAGCACAGTTATGCACCTGTCAAAGTTGCTCTCTTTAATAACCTAATATAAATAAATACTACTTACAGTGTTGAATGAACGGATGGGGAAACTGTCCATGTTGTCACTGCTGCAAACAGTCGACTTGCCTCCTTTTAATTTTCCACCCTTGAAATTAAAAAACATTTCAAGATCATACAATATTTACATTTTGTTCACATTAGGCCTACTATTTCATTTCGTAACTGAAAGGTATTTAAAAAAATAATACGTTGCTTAGATGGATTTTTTCAACTGAATGAGTATATGATACAACTTCGCATTATTAAAGACAAACAAACTTTATTAATACCTTAAATATTTCTAGTAAGAGACTTACAAATTCAAACTTGAGTCCCATAGTGGAGACACAGTCTCGGTACATAGTTCCAAACCCTCTGGTCAGGACGGAGTCGTCTTTGATAGAATGAGCCGTGCATGTAGCCAAATCTTCAATCTGAAACAAAGTACAATAGCAAAATAAGTAGAAATAATTACTTACATCTTTAGGGGGAAAAGTATTCAATTACTATGATTAAAAGAGTAGAGTGTACTGGTATTTATTTGAAAAGGAATAGTCGCTTACTTGATAATGTTAAATAATAGGAGAATAATAATCAAATTACATTTACATTTACGTTAGTAGTACACAGGATCGTTTTGACAGTAATCAGGTAATGTTTACCTCCATTGAAAGTAAAATAAGTGTTCAGGAGCTAATACATGAGAAAATTAAAGAAAAACCAACAACATAATTTTGATATTCCAAATTAGTACCACTGCCAATGCCAAAATCCTTGATATCTCTGGATAATTGAGTCCATTTCATTCTTTTACTATTTACATTTAAAGTAATTAAACCAAATAAAGTAGCCTTTTTCTGTTACCAAGGCCGCAAAAGGAGCTTTCATAAGTCGCTGAAGGATTTCTTAAAATATTCTTCGACAGAGTAAAGACTGTTTTTTAGCCAATCCCGACTCGTTTTAAACTGCCTGGAAAGGATCTTGACCTATTGAGGCAGATTATTTATCATCTTGAGAGCAAGCAATCTTTTGTCAAACTTAAGTGACATTGAGGGAAAGGAATTTTGGCTCTGTCACGAATGTTGTACTGGTGGACCTCTTTTCTTGTCGTTTAGCTTTTAAAATTCTCTTAAGCCAGCGACAGGGAATTCAAAACAAACTGACCGTGTCAAAACAAACAAGATTCAAGATTCAAGATTCAAGATTTATTGAGCCGTTCAGTTTATAACAATTGGCCAAGTCACTAACACTAAACTAAAATACAAAACAGAGATGCATTCCTCTTGATTTACAAAACAATGTCCAAAGAGCACATACAAATGTCCAAAGAGCACACCATGCATAATAGATAAATAAATAAAAAACTGCAAAACAAAACTGTTGGTATGTCAAGTTCAGCAAATTATGTTACATAATGTAGACTTAGAATTTTAAAACAAGTGTTAATACGTACAATTGCGCTTTTGTTTATTTTCTTGGAGTCTTCAGTGACCAGAAGCTGTTGGCGGAAGAATGAGCTGACTTTGCCCATCTCACTGGCATACGCACACCCATTCAGCCAGTCATTGAAGGAGAGACCCTGCGGTGTAAAAATCTTCTTATAAAGTAATATATAGGCAAGTAGTGTATTATTATTATGGATATTAATTTAGTTCATCTCATACTCTGATTGGAACATAATATCCTACTTCAATTTTTTTTGGAAAATATATATATTTGATTGGATTTGATATTCAATGTCTGTTTAATGTGTTTTATGTATAAACTTAGTGAAGGAGAGTATATGACTGGGATGGTGGCATCGACCTGTAATCCAGCAACAAGGAGGTCACAAATTGTAGAAAATTTATAGGCATGCACTGTGGATGTAATATTCCCTGGTGTAGATTGACGTCCGCACTAGTGAGTACTACGACTATCCGCATTACTATCCTGATGATTAGACCAATTCGTTAATTACAACAAAAAATGTGGTTCGGATTCCACTATAAACTGTAGGTCCCTTAGTTGCCTTTGGCTGTTTGGGCTATTAATTGACAGCTATGTCTTCAGATAAATGTTGGCCTTAGTCACTAACAAGACTACAAGATTACGCCACTCATCCTACACCCATCTCCACTCATACTTGGCTTAAAATACCTCCATTCGTATGATCACTATTTCAGATTAAGTATTAAAAGTATTTAAAAAAACACCATTTTATGAAGGAAAACCACATGGCTTAACGGGAATTTTTCATTTATTTACTTTATTTTGCAAAGAACAGTACGGCATCTGAGACATCACGAAACACGACATTGCTAGTTTTGTGACATTTATAGTGTATCCATTAGCATTTACTTGACCGAATACATGTGAGGTTTAGTAATTTTTAAATTAACTTATTTCCATTCAAATGAGCAAAATATGGTAATCCCAGACATCAATTATGGAAAATCATAAAACTGACATCTATATACATAAAAGGCAAAGCCCTCACTGACTCACTCACTCACTCACTCATCACTAATTCTCTTACTTCCCATTTACCTAGGAGGCTGAAATTTGGTACACTGATTCTTTAGACATTAAATAGGAAAACTAAGCTGTTTTTATTCTGATCGGACTCTCGGGCTCCGCCCCAGTGGCTCTGGAGTTTCCCATGTTAACCTTATGAGTACTCATATTTAAATGGAATTAATGAATCTTAGCAGCTGTTTCAATTAAACAAGTTGGTTCTGTTCTATGATGTTCAATAGCATTAAAGTTACAAGGATTACCAACAGGGTGCAGCACTATTATTTCTTTTAAATTTATGACAACAGCTAATTTGCAACCAAAAGGTGAGTGAGCGTAGCGAACAAACTTCAACCTGGAGGCGAGTTAGCGTAGCGAACGAGCTCCAACCTAAACAACCAGGACATGATTGAGCCATGCGAACGAGCTAACTTATGAAGTTAAATGGGGCAAAGCCCGCGGGTACAGCTAGTCCAGATATAAGTCTCCAATGTCGGGCAGTTGGTTTGCAACGCTATTCATTATTGTTGAGGAATGAAACACTCACCCACACTGTGCCCGGTTGCATTACAAAGTTGGCGTTGGCACTCGTGAAGAAATCTCTGAAGGTGCATCCGGTCACATGGGAGTTGTTCAGACTGAAAAATTATTAAACTATGACTATATTGATAAACAGAATGGTGAAGTTGAATTAACAGTGTTTTGTTTTTCTCTAGGCCTTTGACATTTTCCAAATTACAGTTGATAATCGTACTTGTGGGATCGGCAGTGTGTCAGACCAAAAACGTCAGATTTCTGCAAATAATACTGAATTGAACCAACTTGAATAAAAATAAACTAAATGAAGTAATTATGTACTTTTCTAACATTGGGTGTTCAAATTAATACATTTTTTGCATTATTTTACAAATTATGCAAACTTTTAATGAATATATTACCTGTAACTTTTTGTTGGATAGCACTAATTGATAGCCTACTTACAATGACATCTGGGTCCTAAAGCAACTATTTTTTTGCAACAAACCAAAAATTATCGGGTTTGAAAACGAGTACAACAACAATTTGGGAACTTAAGACCAATTCAAGAAAAGAGGATTCATACGTAAAAGTGTCTTTATTCCTGTCAATTCTCTACTGTATTTATTGTTCTGTAAATTACAAGTAGGCCTGGTGTTAGTTACTGAAAATGGCAGGCCTACCACTAATTTAGAATTGTAATATTTCAAACGTACCTATAGACGTCATCATAAGAGTTGATAGACATGAGCCAGTTGTTAGTCATGACTGCGTCGGTCACACAGGCCTTACGTAGAAAGCTGACTGGAGCTCTGGTGTCGTCAAGGTTCCAGAACTTAGCTGTACGATCCATAGAGGCTGACATCATATAGACGATTCCCTCCGTGCAGGACAACTTGACAGCTACAAAGATCAACATTTCAGTCTCAAATAAAAGATCAAAGTCAAATTTTTTTGCTTTAAATTTTCAACTTACTTGTGTAGGCCATAAGGTTAGTTGTTAAGGAAGGCACAAACAGTAAACCATAATATACCCTCTAAATAAACCAGACAAAATAAACTTTATTCTGACCCATGTAAATAACAAATCTACAACTGAATATGTTAATCAATGGAACAAGTTACCACTAAAAAAACCCGCATATATGAAATCACCGTACAATCAGCATTTTTTACAGCACTTTAAGCATAGTAGAAACTTATATCAACCATTCAACTTGAGAATTACTAATTCACACCAATAAAACAAAAACTACAAGGTATCACATCTAGTTCTAAAAGAAGTAAGAACATCTCTGAAGCAAAATTTTTTGTACAAAATTAAAACAATTTGATGGGTATGTACGTATCTTTGACTGCTGATCGCACTTCACTTTGCACATCCACCAAGTAAAACTGATTATTCTTTAAGACTAGATTGGATTGCAGTCTAGGTCGTTTAAGAAATGGCTAAACACGAAGTGCGTCCATTGGACATAGGCACACTAGGCCTAGTTCTGATGAAGTACAACATGTGTCCCTAGGCTAGTGTTCGAAGAGTAGAGGAGGATCTTAATAGGTTAGGTAACCAATGAATAAAACTCATTGGAATTCCACACTACAAGCTAGCCACCTGTGAGCAAAAACATTTTCCCGCCTCTTCCAAAAAATGATCATGTTTAGATTTAACTTACATTTAACTGCCGATTGATGGGCTTCAATGACCTTGAAAGGTAGAAGGGTAGAGCCAGACTTGAGTAGGGGAGAGGTGGTGGCAAGGTCCCAAAGAGCCACCATCCCATTGGCAAAACCTCCAGCAATGACACTACAAGAACAAATGGAAAACATTACAATCAGACTCACAATCTGTCAAACTGTTGTGGTCTATAGGAGGGTAATACCTTTGATTATGGATAGAACCATACATTCCATTACCATGTTGTAGCCAGTTTCAAAATAAAAATAAATACAGTAGAGTAATTGAGAATATGACGGTACTTTGGTATTATATGGAGGCAACCCTTATACAGTACGCTGGGCAAGCTGATGTTATGTTAGGGTAATAAATATGACAAAGTATGACTCATCTGTTATCGTTCGATTCATAACGAAAGGAGGACATTCCTACAAACATATTTATGATATCCAAACCTAACATAACTGCCGCAGCACGCTGTAAAATATGTTGCCTCCGTATAATAACACAAGTACCAATATGACAGAGTGTACTGTTGCCAATTACCGATTTCGGATTCATTAACATCTGAATAAAGACATATAAAAAGGATAACTTGTTCAAAACTATTGGATCCTTCAATCCAAATCAATTATCATTACTTTAAGACAGTAGTGCACACAAGGTATAAGCAGAATATGAATGCAAGGTACCCATATTACACAACATGTAACCCATGTTGATCCTGCTTATGTAGAATGGAGTGAGTTGATCTGTGTGGCTTTGTTACTGACTAAGATCGCCGGTTTCTTTAGCCAGGATAATTTATCTAAAGGCCAATGAGGGATTGCTATACCTACAAGATGGTCCAGTTACAAACCATCAAGAAGCTACTAACTTTTAGATCCATTCTTCTAATTTGTTTTGTTTGTTTTTTCAGCCCCAAACCAAACGGTTGGCCTAAAAAATAGAAACATTTTGTAGGTAATCAAATTCTCTATAAATTTTATTGTGATACTCGTTTTCCTAGAATAGGCCATTACTGAATTACAGCAATCTAAAGTTAGAAATTTGGCAAAATATCCAAAAAAAATTATATTTTCGTATCCATAAGTCCTAGAAACAAATTGTTAAACTTATATTATAGGAAATTTAATTGTCTACAATATTGACATTACATATTCTTCACTAAAACAGACCAAAACGGAGATATAGGCGAAAATCTCTAAAAAGAACAAATTTTTTAATTTTTCCAATATGGCGGCGGGCGCAGAGGGGGGAGAATCGTGCATTTTGCATTTTAAACACCTACTTACCATCACACTTACAACATATAAAAAATTTAGAACTACCAGACTGTTTGTAAGTTTACAGACCTCTATTCACTGGACTAAAAAGAGGGAAATTACAGGGGGGAGGGCTGTGCGCTTTCAGCCCTAGAATGTTGTACCAGAAATATACTTGTGATGAGCAAGGAAAAGCCTGAGTGGCGAGCACTTTGCACAGGGCACAGGGGTCCTTCAACACCGTGAGCGTTGTACTACATGGGGGGGGGGGGGGCAGTGTTGGACTTTGTCCTAGACACCAGTGACTATGGTAGACACTACTTAGGTGTAACATGGAGTGTTTCTTCTGTGCAGCAGTTTATCTGTGAGAAGCTTATTCAATTATGTTACACTTGAACTGAACCAATGACTGACTAGAGCTGGCCCATTCATTGGATCTATAATCTAGTATACTGTAGTCAATGGTAGAGCCATGTAACATCACCCCAGGCATTCTACCCATTTTAGCAAGATAATTTATCAATAATGTGAATGAGAGGGACTTAAATATAACAAAAGACTTAGATGTGTATACTTAGTTATTTAGATATACTAAGATATGTATAGATAAACCTCAGTATAAGTGAACTGGAGAAGCAACACAAGGTAAGATATACACACACAAAAATACTCTTACTAATAACTATTAAAGTTATTATATCATGAATGAGCATTAGACAAACACTGTTTTGTATTGTACTACCTATGTGGAGCCGCAGAATGCCAATCTATGCAGGTACACTGCGACATCATCTCACATCCCAGCTTCAACTCCCAAACAGGCTTCAAAGACAAACAGTTTGACATCGGGTCTCTAGAAACATCAAAACATTGACTATAAACTATGCATAATTTGTTTAGTAACAAAGGAGAAACTTATCTATGAGTCTGTAACATACTATCTTGGAGAGAGAAGTAATATGTTAGGACAATGTTAGGGAAAAATCAAAAGGTACACGACTAACTTACTTAAAAAAATTCCAGCCAGTTTATGAGCATTTGACAATAGAGAGTACAAGTAGTAAACATACAACAATTCTCATGTTGTAGCTGTAACCAGTTTAGGAATAACATAAACATCTTAAATTGTATAATTAAAATCGTGTGCCATGTCGATTACTAATTTCTGACCAAAACACCAAATTTTTCACTTTAACTAAACCAAACTGAAATGATAACTTATAGTGAACTAAAGCATAGTTAAGATAACATGTTTAGGTCAAATAATGAAGACTCTACTGCAAACACTTAACATTACTATGAAGTTCAAATCAGCATTAGACTTACCCAGAGGTATTAGTGTTGTGTGGCACAGCGTAGACTACCACATTGCCGTCACCACAAGCAGCAGCCAACAGTCCTATCCTGTCCTGTGTGTAGACCCCCGCTGGACACCAGGCTAGGCCCCACACAGGGCCCCGTCTCTGGGCTATACCAACCACCATATGGGGACACACTGCCTCACGACTGCAACAACTCAACGAGATTAACACACAGTACATTTACTGTTTACATTAAGTCTAACTAAATGTTAGAGATGAGCGGATATCCGAAAATTAGGGTCGTATTCAGTTCATCTCAATCCTAGATTTTGATTATTCCAAGAGAATTTGCATTAATTGTATTTAATTTGTAATCCTAATTTGTTCATATGGATTACATGTACAAATATGTTGGCCAATTAGTAATTACTCATGTGCAGTAAGCTCTTACATCATTGTTTTTTAAACAACACAGTTCATTTTATGAAAATAAAATGGAAGCAGAAAAGAGAAATATTGATCGATAGCTGCAAGCTTTGACTATTGATACAACTAGACAGTCCATCTCCATTTTAAAGTTGTCGTAAGATTTTAGTCAAAATAGTCTTAGTTGAGTCACTGACAGATTGTGCTGATCTAAATTAATATTTTTTTTTGTTCCTCAGTTCAAGATATCAGCAATACGGCAAGGTTTTAGTCCAAAAACTGTGTTTTTGTGGTTAGGTGTAATCAAGGAATATCTTCTTCTAGTGTTTATGCAATTATTTATGGATTGTAAAAAAAACTAGGAGGAACCAAGAGATTTTTTAAGCTCCAAATGTGTTTGCTGGAGCAAAAAATAGTTTAACATAAAATGGACATGATATTGAGGGGATATTATGATGCAACAAAAGTGGAAGGAACCCCCATGGAAAAAATCCTGTCTTAATTAAAATACAAAGTTATAACTGACAAGTCTTATCTAGCACTTAACCTTCAACAAAATGAATAAGATGGTTCAACTAAGTTAAACCATAGATAAAACATCTCCATTAGTATATTTCTCATCCTTATAGAACAGCTGAAGACAATTTTATTGTTAGTTCTGTACGGTGTACTGCAGAGCTCATGTTTTTTTTACAATTTGTTTCTTGTTATTTCAGTAATTTAAAACCGTGTTTAACTAAATAATATGATCTAATCATAAACAATAACTCCCCTAGTTATATAACCTAACAGTAAAGCACAAATCAAGAAATGAACTATAAAATAATAGAAACAAAATTTCATTGACACTAGCACCCAGTGTCACAGTACATGAACCAGACACGAAAAACGAGCTTCAACATTTAAAATGGGATGAGAAGTCTACTTGTGTTGGTTCAACTCACGTAGTGTTTTTAATAGTGCCAAGTGACCAGATCTGGATGATACCAGGGTAGTTGTACAAAGAGGACATCTCATGGGTGGACTCCACATTGGTGTGTGTAGCTACTGCTAGATACTGGTGATCCTCATAGTCAGGTATCGGGGCCCAGGATACAGCCCAGACAGGCCCTCCAGCAAACAACACTGCCACACCTGTTAACAAGATGACTCACTTAAAAAAAATTAAATACTAGTTTGGTTACTAAGTGGAGTTCGCAGAGGCGTCCACAAAATTGAACAGAGTTATCAAGGCATTATTTTACTTTGTCATCGATCCTCACTATCAGGTTACATTTTTATTTTTACCTGTAATTTTTTGTTCAGACAATTTTGTGTAGAGATAATTATTATTGAGTGATTAAAATAGTTACATATTGTTCCCAGTGAGGGGAAGTGAAAAAACACACAGTTAAGTGAAAACGTAGAATTAAACCAAAGTAGTTTAGGTTTTTACCATTTTGGTGAGTGATAGATAACATCACAAAAGTTTAACTGTCTGCAATGGTTTTTCATTCCTGACTGTACGCGGAAGATGCATGTCAGCCTTCACCCACCAGCACTTGACTCAACACTCTAACTGTTTTAGCGTGCTACATAACACACGTCTCTTCATTCTACCCCTCCCTACCCCTTCTCTACTCCTCCCTTAGTCAAAGTGTGGACGTAGGTATTAATCATTAGAGATAAGAGAGACTGATTACTAAACATATCAAGAATGGAACTAACCATCAAGTACAGAGGCCTGGAACCGCTGCAGCTTCTGCCAAACTCCGTCACTGCCCTGGAACCTGATGGACTCTGTGAGCTCAGGCAGATGTGAGCTGATAGATGCTCCTGGCACAGTTTGACATTGAGCCTCAGGATACAATATCTCCTTAGCAAACATCCTCTGTCTCCTGAAACCATCAGTTGGAAAGTGTTAGTGATGGACTCTGTGAGCTCAGGCAGATGTGAGCTGATAGATGCTCCTGGCACAGTTTGACATTGAGCCTCAGGATACAATCTCTCCTTAGCAAACATCCTCTGTCTCCTAAAACCATCAGTTGGTTAGTGTTAGTGATGGACTCTGTGAACTCAGGCAGATGTGAGCTGATAGATGCTCCTGGCACAGTTTGACATTGAGCCTCAGGATACAATCTCTCCTTAGCAAACATCCTCTGTCTCCTAAAACCATCAGTTGGTTAGTGTTAGTGATGGACTCTGTGAACTCAGGCAGATGTGAGCTGATAGATGCTCCTGGCACAGTTTGACATTGAGCCTCAGGATACAATCTCTCCTTAGCAAACATCCTCTGTCTCCTGAAACCATCAGTTGGTTAGTGTTAGTGATGGACTCTGTGAGCTCAGGCAGATGTGAGCTGATAGATGCTCCTGGCACAGTTTGACATTGGGCCTCAGGATACAATCTCTCCTTAGCAAACATCCTCTGTCTCCTGAAACCAACAGTTGGTTAGACACGCAGAACCCGGCGGGGCGGGACGTGACAGGGCACGATGAGACGCCTGACTTGCCCTGTCCTGCTGTTGTCACACACAGAATGAGGCGAGGCACGTCAAAGTAAAACCACAGCTCATACTGTAACAATTAACTGTAACTGTAATCAATGGGGGGCATGTTCTTGGCCCCCATTTCTGAGCCTTGAGCCGATTTAGCCAACTTTTAAATTTGACTTTATACCTGGGAGCAGAATAGAAAACAAAATTCAAACAGTCATACCTCCAGAGGAGTGGTTTATGAAACCCTTAAGATATGAACGTTGGTCCTCTCTTTCCTCAGTTATCAACACCAAGATAAATTATTAGTTATTCAACCACTGTAGTAATAATACTGTATAGTGGTATCAAAGGGTGTATTCTTTGGTCGTACAAATTGTTACAGTCATAATTATGTAAATTGTATCAGTTGTAAAATAAAATAATCCTTATCAAAATTAACCCGTAAGGGAATAAATCACATGACCGCGCTTGCGCAGAAAGTTCTGCCTGGCAGCGACTTGCCTCGGGGCATAATTTTGTAGAGCTTCACATTTTGCCCTACTGGCGCCCAGGGACGTCTTTTAAGCGTGCCCTTCCTTGCCCGGTCCTGTGTATGGCCAGCCTTAGTGATGAACTCTGTGAGCTCAGGAATTAAGGCATGACGAATGAATTTAATTACAATAGCTTCTTGCACCACCTTGTGTTGTTGTGTTTCTACTGGACTTAACCTTGGGTTGTTTGTTTTTGTAAGGTAGCCTAGATTTCACAATTTGCCTACTTAACTATATTTGTTTATGATTGCCTCATCATTTTCTGACAAGAGTTTTCATAAATACATTATTCAAATTATTCTCTTACCCCCAGAAAAGATAGTTCACTCAAATATTACAAATAGTTAATCCACAATCCATGTTTTGTTAAGATATTTGTATTTTTTTACAGGTTTTGTATTTGGTTGGATTTTTTTATTTAGTTAAAATAAAAGCTACATTATATTACTTAACTCAAACACTTACTGCATATAAGTCCATTTTAGAGCCGGTGTGTAGAGTCGTTTTATCTTTGATTTTATATTTCTTGGTTGCCTAAATGCTGTATATCTTAGAAACTTGAAGGGTTGTGTAGAACCTGAAAAGTGAATTTTTGCTTAATATAATAATACTAGTGAACCTGTGCGGCTCAATGCCCCGCAAAAACATATAAATTTAGAAAACAAATTCATCATGTTATAGCCTATATTGACTCGTCAAAAGTTAAATACAGTAATAATAAAGCATTAGAAAAGAAGCAATCCAGCCATTTTCTAGCTGTATACGTATTATATTTAGTAAATAAATAAGTGTTCAAGTTCAAGTATGTTACAGGGTACCTAGTTATTTTTTTAAGACTTTTAAAAACACATTTGACAAAACATTTTATCATATCAAACCAATAGGCAGTGAAGGTAGCATATACCTATGTAGCATATTTTGAGGGTCATAAAATGCTGCTTGAAGAAAACACTTTAAAAAAAACACTAAAAAACAATATTATTATCACAAAAGCACTTCCATAAATACTAAAATTTTAGTCTTAAAGTTACCTTCAGGAATATTACCCTGGTCAGAATTTTCCATAGTGAATATGCTTATCCTACTATTAAAACAACATATAGGCCTACATATACTGTACAGTATATAGTTGCTCATGACTGAAATTAGTCTGGCTAAGAACAGTGCTGCTCTCTCATTAAATTGCTTGTGCTGCAAATGACAAAGATAACAGAAATTAGCATCTTTCCTTTTAAAGGGCAACTTTGTTTCAGACGGGCAAATTTGTTATCCTCGAAATCAAAATATGTCCTTACTCAATTGTTCCATGTTAGGACTTTAGATTCTACTTTACATTGTTGTTAACCGTTCTGATCACATGAAGCCTTGTGCCATTAATGAGGCCCTTTTTGATGTATTAATATCAATAAAACCACTGCCTCCTTTTATTTGTATAATCTGTGTCTTGGCAATCTACTGACCTCTATATTTAAAAACTCACTTGGATTTTCTAGATGGGTGCCTCTGCCTTCGACTGACAATTAGTTTCTGGATATGATGATATAATTTCTGGATGACAATTAGATATGGTTGTGTCCTAACTTGTAAAGTTCATGTAGTAATTCATTAATACGGTTAGTTTATAAAGAAAATTAGATAAAAGGTACAGTACTTGGCTTGGTGCTTTCATAACTGCAAACTCAAAATACACCCACAAGTAAAAGATAATCATGTTATTGGTAAAAAAACTATGTTTGTGTAAAAACATTATTCACATGAAGTAGATGATTTGATTGTTTTCTCGATCAGCTGTTTCGTTTATAATGAATTAATAATGTCAAAGATTTGTGATTTTAAATACATCGATTATAGTAAAATTTTCTAAATATGGTAACTTATTCTCAACTAAATTTTACTATTCCCAGCATGAAAATAAAGTAGTGAGATCCATTATGAATTAAGTTTAAGGCACACAATCCTTGATTGAAATGTAGTATACATTAACAGTCATAATACACAGCAATTATTATGTAGTAGACTTTGACTATTTTCAAGTAACAAACATATGTTTCTGTAAATAAAAATTATCTCTTTTGTTATCCTTATGGAGAAATAAAAAACTTTAAAGGGCCCTAGGGCCTCACTCTCTGATTATTTCCTTAAAAAGAAGGTTTCCTGCACAACTTCATGTTACGCTCTTTCCAATGACACCAAAAACATGTCAATCGGTTCAGTAGTTTCGGAGGAGTAATTGTCACAAAAATTGTGCTTGCGTATTAAATAAGTATATAGATATAGATAATTAATAAGAACTAATCACACACTTTTTTAAAAAGTTCTATATTTCAGCATTAGCCTTCTTCAGGAACAAACAAACAATCAACCTTGATAAGTTTTTGCTTTTAACTTACAAAGGAGTATTGGTTGTAGTAGAATAAGCAATTCTACACAAAGATAAACGAGACTCAATAGCATGATGGTAAGAACTAAGAAAAAAACCTAAGATAAATTATAGATAACATTAATTTTAACTATATTTTGTTTTGTTTTCGTAGAATCATAAAACATAATCTTTCAAGTTTTGAAAATTTGAACTACATTAAGGACGATTTTTAGCTAATGGTATGAGCTAAAACAAAATTTATAGGGGCAAAAACTATGTTCTAACCACTAGCGTAAGCAGCTCTTGGTGGTTTCTCCTCATCGTCACCACTAGGCTCTGAAGAATCATCTTCTGATCCTTGAAGTCCATCAAGTTTCTCTTCAAGATGGTTCTCTTCGACATGATCTACCATTTGCTCTTGCTTGAGAGAATTGAACTCACAGTGTCGGCATTGATAAAACTGGGAACAGGAAAATACGGCATTTTGAATTGTGACAAGAATAATATTAATTCTCAATGTGGCCTACTTTAAATAAGATTTTGATCAAACTTTGAAACTCGAATGAATTGATCTATTCAATCAAGTAATCATATCATGGACACTCAATGTAGTGCTCTAAAATGTAATAGCAGACATACTACGTCTAAAAACAAACTGAGCTGTTGATATCAAATTATGGTTAATAATTAATCTTACCCGAGGTGGTTTGAAAGGACAGGAGAAATGGTGTTTCCTGAAGTCGATTGTGTTTTCGGCAGTAAAGTTACACCCTTCCATTGTGCAGGCTACTACGTGATTGGCCGCAAGAGATTCCTTCCAACGGTTGTATTCTTTAGCAGGCACCATTTTGCTAGGCTTGCGGTACAGGCGTCTCTGTCAATCAAGAACCAGTTTTATTTGAGTTTATTTGTCTACAGATAGAAATTAGTACCTCATAAGACCAGTAGGACATTGCAAATATCCGAAAGTAACAATCATAAACTAAAAATATAAAAATAAAAATCTGGAAACTGTTATTTTGTCTATTGACACTCTGAATTTTAAGATAATCATATAAATAATCATTAGATTACTATTTATGTTTTTTTTACATTCTCAGAAGCCTTAGTTTACATGCCCAGTTACAATAAAATTTATCTTGTCTGCGGAAGTAGTTATGTATGGACTGGATTTGCATTTGATTTCTGTTAGGAGGGGTTGTGAAATCAAGTTTTTACTGAAGGTTGCAGTCTGAACAAAGTTCTTGCTTTCCTTAGTTTCGGGTTTCGGACTTTGGTATAGGCAGAAACCATCTGTAGCCTTGGTAAAGACTACCTCTACGATAAATACTGTCCTAACTATCTTATACTTGACCCAACCTTGATAAGTTTTTTAAAGAAAAACAAATAAAATATTTGTGGGGTGAAAAATTTTTTTGTCAATATGTATTATCATTTAACTAACTAATATTATCTGCGGTGTTACTCAGTTTAGGCTAGTTTTAATCTCAGTGAAGTATAAACGCACGCTCACACGACATATTTATTAATAATAGCACTCCAATTCATCAAGTAAAGTTAAACCAACCGATTTTACCAATATTTAACACTGACAATGACATAACATTTAACCTCAAGACCGGTGTTTGTTGACAGACGAAGACTAGCCTAACATAAAATGTCAGATCAGCTGCTGACTAATCCTTAAACTCGCCACCAGAGAGCAAAAGCCTCAACCGGACTGGAATAAGTGATTTTACTTCCAAGATTGGTTCGTCAACTACCGAAAAGAAATTAAATACAACGTCTTACGCTCTCGAGTGCTTACGATACGTCTACAATCCAGGTAAACGGAAGGTTAGATATATTAGTTTATCACTTTCACGTTTTACGATAATCTTTTCCCCTTTATCCACATATTTTCTTTCCAAAATTTGATTTAAATTTTAAATAACTTAAATTTTGCCGACTTGATTCTAGACCCGCCAGTTCCTGCCTGCCAGTGACTAGCGGTGGCTATCGTTTGGTTTTATTTTAATTAATTAGTTTAAAAATTACGATTTCTCCGTTCGCTTAACAAATAATTAGGTATATTTGTTTAGTTAATTAATTCACTTTTAATACTTCGAGACTTGTCATCTAAGTTCTGAAGAATCAAGTTTTGGGTGTGTTCAGGTTTGAACAGTTAATTACAAAGGATATTGGTGTTAAATTCAGTTTAAACCATATCACCCTAAATTCTTCGTTTAATTGTGTTAATTAGGCCCCGACGACTCTGTAGGGTTTTTACACTACATTTTATTCATCTGATCGGCGCATTTTAGCAAATTTCCTTATTATATTATTTACCAACGTCTTCAGAAAATAGTTAAAAGTTTAATACGAGTAATTATATCACCTTGGTAATTACTAATTATAGAATACTGGTCTGTCCTACAGAGTAAATCTAAAAGTTAGGAAAAATTACCAAAAATATGTTAACAAAGGTGCGGATGAAATAGCTCCTACTTGAGCGTCTGCAGGATTTACTGAGCGCTTCTAGAGCTCTGAGCCTTAGACTAAATTTAATAAATTGATCAGACAAAGCCGTGACAACTTTGTATAGACCCCTGGATTTTTCTCGGCTCCTTCTGAGCACTCCGGGAAAGAAATTTGAGTGTGGCTCCCCTAGGGGTAGTAGGCCTAGCTTGACTTTGACGAGTACTAGTTTATTCCCCCCTAGAATATTCCAAGGTCAGAAAAATGTACAGCTGTTCTCCAACTCCAGCAGATTATTTCTTGTCCGAGGGATGAAAAGAGCACTACAACCACTATAGGTACGTATTATTAACAGACTTTTTGACAAAAAAATTAAGAAAACTGTTTAACTTGTTTAAAGCTCCATTGTGTTAACATACTCATCCGTCATGTTTGGTTTGGTTTGAGTAGACCTGATATTCACTTACCAGCTGTGATGCCCTATCAGGAGAGTTGGCACGAGACCCAGGACCATCTGTGTCTTTGCTATCAGCTTGGGTCTTCTGTATAACCTGTGTTGCCCTGAAAAACCAAGCAATCGCTTAACCCAATGAACTTTAGAAATTATTAAGTGATTCAAAATACCTATTTTTATCTTAAATTCCCTATGGACTCGGAAATTAAAATTATTTCAAAACTTGTTTGAAGATGGACATTATAGTGAGTATTCGAAAAATGTAGCAAACGCTTGATTTCACGTGCAACTTACAAACAATACACTAATTCTGTCAAATTCAAACAGAGCAGTCAATTAGTGATGGTCAAAACCAGAAGTTTTGGTTTTGAAATTCAAAATTTCTGGTTTTGACCATCACTAATTGACTGCTCTGTTTGAATTTGACAGAATTAGTGTATTGTTTGTACTTTGGTATTATATGGAGGCAAAATATTTTACAGCGTGCTGCAAAATATTTTGCAGTAAAAAAATATAAAAAAAAATAGTAGAGCCCCCGATATCCTATACAGGACGAATCTATATCCAGCCAGGGGTTTGGTTTCATGGTGGCCAGATATAGCAATAATAACATTTATTCAACAACAACTAGTTAGCGAAATGTATGCAATTCTTTTTTGGTTGAAATTGATACCTTTAAAACTTACTTACTTACTCCTGTGGCCATTCGAACCCTAGAAGGGTTTTAGCCTCTCCAACTAGCCGCCTCCATTCTTCTCTGTTGTGCGCCATCCCCAATTCTCCTCCTATCTTCACCAAATCACCCTTAACTTGGTCGTTCCAGCGCATTCTTGGTCTTCCCAAGGGTCTTGTTCCACTTGGTCTTCCTGTCCAGATTTTCTTTACTACTTTCTCTTCACTTCTTCTTATGATGTGTCCCAGCCATCTGAGTCTCCTGCTTCTTGCTAAAGCTACAATATCTGGTTCTTTATATAACTCTCTCAGCTCCCTGTTTTTTCTGATTCTCCATGCATCCCCCTCTTTTACAGGTCCGTATATTCTCCGTAGTATTTTGTTCTCAAATGTTATTAGCTTTTTTTGAGATTTTTTTGTCAGGGCCCAAACTTCGGATCCATATAACACTACCGGTTGTATCATTGTTTTGTAAATCCTTTTTTTTGTGTCTTTTGATAATATATTGTTTTTCAAAAGCTTTGTTAAGCTCCAGTAGCTTCTATCACCAGCAGCAATTCTGTTTTGTATTTCAATATCTTCCAAGTTAGTGTTAGATATTGTAACTCCTAGATATTTAAATTCTTTTGTCTGTTTAAAATTGTAGTTAAAGACTTTGAGGGGGGATGGTCTAATATCCTCTCTTCGACTTATCTTCATATACTGAGTTTTGCTTTCATTGACTGATAATCCTACAGTTTTTGCATGTGTCAAAAAATGTTCTGTTAGTTTCTTTAGATCTTCCTTTTTCTCAGCAATTATTGCTACATCATCCGCAAAAGCCAATAAATTTATATTTCCATTTATTTTTACACCTTCAGGTTGGTTTTTTGTTTTCCTTAAAGCTTCTTCTATGACAATATTGAATAGTAGTGGTGATAGTCCATCTCCCTGTTTGACACCTGTATTTATATCAAATGTTTCTGTGTAATTGTTTTCTACTTTTACTTTTCCTTTGGAGTTGTTTATGCACATTTTTGTTAGATGAATTAATTTCTTTGGAATTTTGGCCTGCTTCATCAGGGACCAGATTTTTGTCCTGTTAATACTATCATAAGCTTTTTTAAAGTCAATAAATATAATGTACAAGTCTTTGTTATATTCCCAATACTTTGAGGCCAGCTCTTTCATTGAAAATATTTGGTCCATAGTTGATCTTTCCTTCATAAAGCCAGCTTGGTGATCTCCGATGATTTCCTCTGCGTAGGGCTTAAGTCTACTAAGAATTAATTTAGATACAAGTTTTAAATTACTTTAATTATTATTATTATTATTATTATAATTAATTATTATTAATATTATTATTAATAATTATTAATAATTACCTTTAAAACTATTGAAGATTTATCTATGAAATTTAGTGGGCCTATACAATTATATATAGCAATAAACTATTTGTGAAAAAAATTACAAATATTGTCTGTTTTCCCAACGGCAGACATTTTAATTTTTATAACAAACAAATAAATATGGCCAATTTATTTAAAAAAAAAACGCCAGGCACATATTTATTAGGCATTAAAAACTTCCTATCATCGACATCAAGTTCACATAGATCAAATAATAAATAGTTGGGATGATAATAAATTGTTCGTTGATGTGACGATAGTAAATAAATGAATTCACACCTCTTAGCAGCAGCTCTTGGTCCTCTAGGCTGGTTTTCAGTGTTCTGTGGAACGTACGGCTGCTGAGTTTTGTTATGTTTGACATAGTTGTGAGCCTGTATACTAGATGGCATCATTCTTGCATTACACAGCTTGCATGTCACTAACAATGAGTCCTTTTCCTGAAAAAATTGCATTCCCTATGTTATTCTGCTCTTATGTCGCAAAGCTTGTTCAATTGAATCCGACAATTGGCTAATAGAACTAATAACCTCATCAAATAGTAAACCGTACACACAATATCACCGCTGTGGTTTTTCTTTATGTTGCCTAAGAAGCCAAGCCACAGAATCATTTTTAGTAACAATTAATCATTGACTGAAATTTTCTCAAGCATATATAAAACAATTTCCAAAATTGTCACAACAGAAATTTGAGTGAGTGATGCACATGATAATGTACAAAGGAAATAATATGTTTTATTGGTGAATTTCCCTATTTTTTAGATAAATAGAGGTAATAATAATAAATCAAATCATTATCTCTCCTTTTAGTAATTTTACCCACAAAGAGTACCTTAAAGAGTCTTAATTGTACACCGGGAAGTTTCCGAACTTAGAAAGAGTTGTTACTTTCGTAAATTTTCTATATAGGGAGTAAGCTATTACAGTAGTACTCAGGGATAATTGCAATATAATGATGTAAGCCTACAAAAAGCCAGTGATCGAGTAACCATGGTATGTCATGCAAAAACTATGCCCAGTCGCTTAATTCATCTCTGACTGTTTGTGTAGCTACAACTCGTCTTCTCAGTACAAGTTTGTGTACATGAGTCTACTCCAAAATTGAGTGGACCTTGGCACACTTTGGATTTGACTCGCACGAGTCTTCTTTTAAATTAAATATAGGCCTATAATGTTACATGAAAATTGAAAATATAAACATGAAAATTACGGGCCCATTCCTGTTAAACATTTTTTTTACTCTATTTACCTTTGCTATTTAATGTGTTTAGAAGGTTTTATATTTGAATTGGCTGGTTATAATTTTTTATTGTTGCTTTGATCATTTTGATATGGCTACTGAAAAAACAACCCATTACCCTGCAATTAAATTTTGTGCAAGGACATAAAGCTAAGGGTTGCTTTATAGTAGGCCTACTCAATCTATAGGCCTACAGGAAATTTAGTAAAATAAAAAAAAGTTTAAACATTGGGAACTGTGTTATAGATATTTGTATTGAGAATCAATCAATTTTGGTATGACACATCTCTACTTCTGTGCCTATTTTATTTACCTCACAATCCTTGCCACAGAACAGAATGTGACTGTAGTAGCCAACAGCACTCAATTTGGGCAAGTTACAGCCAGGGCAGCGAAACGGAGTCTTTTTTAAGCGCTTCTTGGCGTACCACAGCCTCCCCTCTATCTCCTTCTTGTTGGTCATATCCTGTAAATTAAAAAAATCTGTTTTACCACTTTAGATACTGAAGTCACCCATCTTCATGGACTGATGTTTAAAAAATAACACAGTAGAATAAGCCAAACACAGATCGTGTTACAGTCTAAAATTTAACTTTCTCACCTAGTTTTTGTAACTATCTGATGTGACGTTAAGTTACTACAGTTTACAAAAATGTGACCTTTTGGTTCGGGTTGGTTAAAAGTTAGAGCGTATTCTACAGAGATCTATAATTTATGTATCAGCGCATTACAAAAGGGTAACAGGGAATGATTACCTTATTACCGGTTCTCATTCTTTTACCTCATGGAAAATTAATGATGTCATCAGAACATTTTAAAATTTGATGGTAGAAACATTACCAGATTGACGTTTAATCGAGGTTCTGGTGCAATTAGTTTACGAGATTTTAAATCAATTTAAAAAAAGGCAAGTTTTGTGTACAAAATTATTTGAATCCAAGCTTACCGGAGGGCTCTCTACTCCTTCAATCCATGATAACATATAATGTTTAAACACAGCATGTCGACTCTTGTATTTAGTGTAGGTCATTTCTTTCTTACAAAGTCCACAAACTATCTGAAAATCACATATAAATTAGTAAATTGTATGTTTGTTTTAACAGTGAAATTCTTAGTGAACTCTCGTTTGGCTGAGAATCTAAGGAGAGTCAAGATCAAAGTGAAATATCAATCACTGTAAGCCTGTAAAAATCTGAGAATCCATGCTAATACATTTAATGCAGTGGTAGCAAGGTCACTTCTAGTAGAGATAAAAGTTATTGTTAATATCTAGGAATGCATTGACACCGGTACAGAACCATTTGCTACGTTACTTCAGCTTTTTGCTAAGCCATTGTCTATTGTATATCAGCAAAAGTTTCACATTTGGAACTATAAGGATGCTTAGTCAAAATCTATATATATAAAACTTACATAAACTAGCCATAATTTGTTTCTTTATCATAAGACAAAAAAATTATTAGGATCATTAGGCTGCAATGAAAAATCAAAATTAAAGCTGTTGGATAACCTATCTCAGTTACTCCTTGAATTTATCTACTACTGATATAAAGATATTTCGGATTACATACCTTATCTTCACCATGGTGTTCTGTTCTAAAGTAAATACTCTGTCCAGGTTTACTATAACTGTTATTTTTATTGACTGGCGTCTGCACAGTTTCTCCATCAACATTATTTCTGTTTGATTTTGCTCTTCTGCGTTTTTTTGGCTGGATGTAACTCTCATCATCTTCAGAATCATCGTAGACTAGTAAGTCATCGGGTCCACCATTATCAGAATTATCACCTTCACTGACAACTTTCTGTGGTGGCTTTTGTCTACATCTCCTAGTTTTATTATTCAAGGATCTAGAACTACTAACGACTTTTTCTTCATTTATGATGATCAGATCGGTACCGAGTAGTTCGCTAGTTTCCGATTCATCACAGTTCATGTCTGTTACATTACTATCTTTATTTTCCTCATCATTGACCTCTGAAGTTAATTTTGTCGTTCTTCTTTCTTTACTTTTTAATTTCTTAGTTTCGGGTGTAAGATTATTTTGACTAGCATTGTGGTCTTTTCCTTCAAAATTACAACTGGTATCATTTTTAGAAACTTCTGGTTGTCTTTTAGGTCTACCTCTTTTTTTGGCAACTTCATCTTTATCAAAATCCAATATTTGTTCTCTGACCGTATCAATATTTTCACTCATTGGAGAACAAGTAGGGTTTTCCGAGCTTTTAGAATTGTTGAGTTCTGGTTGTAGTTTTGGTTTCCTTCCTCTTTTTTTAGGTAGTTTAGTAACACTAGTATCACAGTCAGTTTCAATATTTGAGATATTCTGTATATCATTACACAGTTTACTATTTACATCTTCCTTACAAGTTGATTGGTTAGTTGCATTAGGAGTACTCTGAAAAACTACTTTTGATTTTGGTGGTCTTCCTCTTCTTTTTGGTACTTTTACTTCATTAATATCACTCGATGTTGCTTCATTTGCATCTGATTTAGAATTGACTTCCTCGTTATGAGAAACTTTACAGTCTTCTGAGGAAATAGGTGTAACAGGAAAGCTTTCATGAGAATCGATTTCCAATTTTGATAGTCTTTTTCTTCTTCTTTTCTTAGGAACAATGCCACAAACCAGGCTGGATTCACCTTTGCCTTGAAAACTTTGTTGTTTTTGCAAACTTCTTTTGGAACAATCAATTCCTGTCACTTCCCCTCTTTCTTGACTTGATGATTTCAGATTATTTTGGCCTTTTTCAAAAACACCACCAACTAAAATGTTTTGTAATTCGTCACTATAAATTGAAATTAATAGCTCGTTATCACTACTGTATTGATCAAACCAGTTCGACACTTCATTTGTGTTTGAGGTGGTAGTGAGTTCAGTCATTTTTATTTTTCGAGGCCTTCCTCTTCTTTTAGGTGTGGAATGACTATCAACATCATTTATCAAGCTTTTATTACATACATCATATTGCTCTGTTATCGTACAGTTATTACTTGTGGTATTATGATTGTTCAGATCTGTAAATGCTGTCTCATTGTGTTTCTCTTTGTTTATTACAACAGAGTCATTGTTAGGTGCTTCAATTATATTTTTTTTAGGTTTCCTACCCCTCTTTTTAGTAGTTTTTAAATCTTCACGTGTATTAGCAGAGTTAATCTGTTCAGTTTTGGTTGCAGGTTTTGCGGAGTCAAGGTGTGCTTTGTTTGTATTTTTCACCTTTTCCGATTCTAAATCATCATTTTGAATGTGATCATGTGGTGAGAAGCCTTCGGTGAGAAGGTTGTCTTTTGAACAAAGGACAGTTTTCACACTTTGTTGATAGGTTTTTTGTAAATTAGATAAAGGTTCATCATCACTGGATATTGTATAATCCATTCTACATTTTAGATTTTCTTCATCTCCATACTCTGCAGTTGAGTTACCTGAAGTTCTGTCCATGTCTGCACCAGTAAATTTACTCTTACACTGTGTTGTAGTTAGGTTAGATACCTCAGTTTGTAAAACTTTTGATTTCGAGGACGGGTCATCTTTGGAGTCTGGATTGTGTTCCAAGTTTGTACTTGTTAGGTGTACACTATCAATGCTATTTTCACGGTTGAATTTTTCTGATATGGCAGTTTTAATTTTTTGAATCAGCGAATTTTCCATATTGAAGTTTCTTTTAGCTGTGTTGTGCAATTCATTCTTTTGAATTTTTGAAGGGTTTTGTTTTCTCGAAGAAGGCAATTCATTAGTTACATTATTACGATGATTACTTTGCTCATTCACAGCCAGTTCCAAAGATAAGTTTTTTGAGCTAATACTTTTATTTACTTTGAAGTTTTTAGTTTTGGAATGATCTTTTACTTGGTTAATAGATTTTTTACTACTTCCTGTCACTTTCTTATTTTTATCGACAATTGTTTCTTCTGTTGTTTTACAATTACGTTCATTATCATACTTTGGACGGCTTCTGTTATCAATCTCTGCTTTAGAAGGTATTTTTAAATTATCAATACTAAGAGAAACTTTTAAACTTTGTGTGGATTCTCTTTTCGAAAGAGATTTCGTATTTGTTTCTTTTGAAGAACTATACATTGGAACATCTTGAAGAGTTTCATCGTCAGTAACACCTCTCTGTTTTACTGGTTTAATTGCAACTTTACTATGATTGATTGGATTGGGTATATTTTTATTATGATTCGATTTCAAACTTTCTTCACCTTTCGATTTCTGATTAGCTGTTGATTTTGATTGTGCTTTGTTTGGAAGTGTTTCACAAAATGTATTAAAATTATCATGTGATTCAAGCACCACTGCTTTTTTATTGGAATTCCTCAATGGTTTGTGGTCGGGACTGAAAGGCTTTGACATGTCACTAGACAAACTAAAATCCTTTCTTACATCCAACGACAAATTCCCTGCATTTATATACCACTCTTCATTTTCACTTTCACTTATTCTGGTGATGAACTGACGAAAACGCCTATTTTTTGAATAAACATTATCTGAAACTTCTTGAAACCCATTAAATAATTCTTCTTTCATGTCAAGTTCATCGTTGTTTAAATTGTTGTCTTCATCTAAAGAGTTTTTGTCAGAAATCACTATATTTGAATTGTCTAATTTTGTTTCTGATTTCGATTCAATTTTTTGCGAGTCATCATTTGTGCCAGGGTTGATTATCACAGAGCTATGTTCATTTTCGATTATAGAAGTATCCAAAATAGATTTCATATTCCCACTTATTGCTGGGTTCTTATACTCCAAAGCTTCTTCATCTAAAGTACTTCCCACTTTCAATTCTAATACATTAGGGCCCACTGCATTAATCATGGAACTTGAATCTACCACATTATTCTCGTGTACAATGATTGAATCAAAAAGTGGAATGTTCATTTTTTTTATTGATTCAGTCATCTGTCTAAGTTTTAAACAGTTTTGATCGTCAATTTGCTTGATTGATTCATCAAGAGTTTTAGCAACAGCTTGATTCCCTGAATCTGTAGGTTTGTTAAACAACTTAGGTTTATCATTTACAAACTCTAAACTTGAAACAGTTTTTAAAACTCTCAAGGAACTATTTGGGGAGTCATTAGATAAAATTGTTTTCTTAAGTTTTCCGCTGTACAAGAAAGATACAACTCTGGGATCGCTAGGTTCTTCTATAGATATGCAAGTTTTTGAACTAGAACACTCGGATAAATTTGGCTTGGAAGATTCTATTTCTCTACTCAGAATTGAGTTATCTTCAGTAAGATCATGCTTAATTTGATCATTCAATTTCGTTTCTCGGACTACTTCTGCAGAAATCAAACTACTGTCAGACAATGTGGATTTTTCAACAGTTTTTGAGGTTGTGTTTTGATCGCTAAATGTTGAATTTGTTTTGTTCATAGCTGGGCTAGAAATTTCTATAAGCATGAGTTTGTCATTCTTTTCAGAGTTCTTCGACGATTCTTTCTCTGAATCCTCAACATAATGAGTCTTCTCTTGTAGCACTTGAGTACTCATGGCTTTCTTATGATTTGTGAAGTTACTTTCATTACTCTTCTTTTCTTTACAATTTATGACAGATGCTCTTCCAATGTCATCAATACCTAAAAAAAACAATTGTTTTAGAAATTGTATAATCAATATCTAACAATTGATATTGAAACAATAACACATTTACCTCATAAAGAGCCTACTTGGTGTCAGAGGTTTTGTTACTCTGTATATTGTTTACTACAATTAAAATGATGTAGGCCTATACAAAAGTACAAATAATATTCTTCTATTAAGTATTTCCTATTAAACAAGCTCATTGATTGAATTTGAGACTAACCGGCAACCTTACAGCAAATAATGTTTCAAAATATTGTTCTGTATTTTATTAGTTAATTTTAGCTATGGTGTCGAGTTCCAGAATTGATTATTTAGCATTAGAACTTGTGTCCAAAATCCATAAATTTATGCCCTAAATGTCTAACTTCTTTCTGGTGTACTCATGAGGTGACAAATTAAATATCCCCTATAAAAAGTGTTGCGTTGAGCTAAGTAAAACAGAACGTATAAATAGGTTTATGAACAAGACCTGTACAACTCTTGAATGATAAAGAAAAAATAGAATGGCGGAGAATCAAAAAATGGAATGGCTAATGTTATTTTTAATTAATCAAAGTTAAAAGTAATGTGACTTTGGCAAATGGTGTGTAAGTATGGTATGTGCATATATTGTCTTAGGCTAGTCCATCAATACACCCAGAAATGTAAGAAAAGTTAAATGGTGTCTAGCACACTGTTGTTCCTATGAGCTTATATATATATACGCTGTTTCCATCGGACGCATCACGGAAGTTACCTCCGGGTCACTACTTTTTTCGTTATAAAAACCATAGTATGTGTTCGGCAGGGCTGTCCCCTCATTTACCTCACGCACCTCTTTTGCAGAATCGGTTTAGTCTACTCTTACCCCTTTACCAGTAGTCAGTCGACCTTGGGGAGTGGTTCGCATCACTACTGGAAGTAACTCCCGTGTGCACCCTGTGAAGTAACTGGTCTCCCGGAGCCTAGTTCCTTGTGTTTGACCTTATTTAGCGATATAAAATGGATGAAGAAGACCGAATTGCGAGATTGTTGGCTAGTGTTGATAGAGAGGACGGGGAACAACATTTAGTGGAAAGATCTAATGGTGCGTTTGTTTGGGAACTTTTTTTCAAGAAAAAGAGCTTTGACAAAATGAGTAGTCCTTCTAACAAATGATTGTTTCATTAGACAATAGGTGTTTTATTTCAAACACTATTGCAATTTTTTCTAAGAGCTTTGACAAAGTTGAAAGTAAGTTGTCCTTATGAAATAATGATCTTTTTTCATAATACCATAGGTGTTTTTATGTCATGCAATTTTAGTCCAAGAGCTTTGATCGAATGAGTTGTCCATTTTTTTTCTACTATACAATAGTAGGTAGTGAATATGTAAAGTAAGTCTTTTTTTTCATTACCATTTTTTTGTGAAAAAACTGTTGAAATGGTGATTTATTTGGCTAATATTTGATATTGAGAGTGTATATTAATCTAATACTATCCGTTTCCATACGTAAGCCATCAAATAAGTTTTTATTCAAACGGTCATGTACTGGAACAGATTTCTGGGCGAAACCAATGAATGACCGTCGGGTCATTTACTGGGTTTGGGTTTGGACTCTAAATTACAATTATTTACCATTAAAATGCTCAGACATTATTAAGAAATATAAGTATCGATATCAGATTAAAATTATAATTAATTATCTTTGTCCTAACCTATGAATGAGCGGAATCTAATTGAGAGCATTGTGTTAAGTCAACAAGAACATTTTACCTTAACCGGTCATTTACTGGGCAAGTCACCCTACGATAAAAGATTAAAACGCCTTAGGAGAAACGCATCACAAGCCATATAAATGAAGCAGAAAACAAATCCAAAGCCCTATGGCAAGTAATTAATAATGAGAAGAAAATAAAACCAACAAACAACACACCAATTCAGCCAAATTGTCAATGAGAAATAATAGATAACCCACCAGAAATAGCCACCTGTTTCAACACTTTTTTTGCCGCAGTTGCAGATAGGACGCTTAGAACCAATAACACAGCCCCTCAAACCATCAAAAACAAAGCACCAATGTCCAATATCAACCAACAATAACCATTATTGCAATTTTTTAGCTGCAACCAAAGTAGAAACAACCCCAGATTGGAAGAGTCAAACATTTTTCATGCAGAGCAGTTGTCAAATTGAGAAAGTGTTACAATGTGTACTTTGAAGTCTAAGAATAAAAAAATTGCATTTTAATAGGTCTAAAACTAATATCCCAGAGTTTATCGCTATCGAGAAGTAAAAACAACACTGCAAAGAAGAACTGGTAGGGCCTCTAACAGACATCATAAATAAATCACTCTCTCAAGGAGATTTCTAGCCCAACTGAAGATTTCTAAAGTCTACCCTAAATACAAAAACGGTCTTCCAAAAGAAACATGTAGCTACAGACCAATCTCACTAATACCAACCTTCGCAAAAATATTAGAGAAGATTGTCTTTAAAAAAGCTAATGTCCCACCTTGAACAGCACAGTCTTCTCACTACCCAACAACATGGTTTCCTCAAAGGCCGCTTAACAACCACAGCCCTAATACAGTTCACAGAGTATACTGGACCAGCTTGAAGATGGCTCAAAAGCTACCACCCTCTTTCTCAATTTCAGTAAAACTTTTGACTGTCTAAACCATGAACAGCGTCTGAGAAAACTAGAAGCCCTGGGGGTTAGGGCAAAGGAAGCAGGATGGTTCAGAAGCCATCTGAAAGACAGAAAGCAGTTGGTTTAAATAAATTACATCGAAAACAACACAATATGCAAAGCCCACTCAGAAACCACCGACATACATAGGGGTGTCCAACAGGGGTCAGTTCACTGTTCATTGTTCAATGAAATGGCGACAATACAAAGTAGGTATTTTAAGCCAAGTATGAATGGAGATGAGTGTAGGATGAGTGGCGCGATCATGTAGTCTTGTTAGTGACTAAGGCCGACATTCCTTAGACACAGCTGTTAATTAATAGCCCAAACTGCTAATGGCAACTAAGGGACCTACAGTTTATAGTGGAATCCGAACCACGTTTTTGCCTTTGGTACATACAAATTGGTCTAATTAGCAGGATAGTACTGCAGACAGTTGTATCGCTGGACCATACCTATAATCATGGTCCATAGCCCATCTCTTGGGTACGTAGACCTAATTATTTATACATAGCCTTCCTACTTAGGAAATAAAACTACAAACGTCCAAAAACCCAGCTTTGTGAATTGTTGTCACATTTTTGGGACCAGTTCTGTTCCTACTCCTGACAAGCGACCTGCTAGAAGATTTGCAAGGCCCCTGTCACACTGTCATGTATGCAGACGACACAGTCCTCACTCTTGCAAATAAGTCCATGGAAAAATTAGAAAGAAACACACTAGCACATTTCATCAAGACCAAACACTACTGCGAAGAAAATGGCCCTGTTCTTAATGAAAATAAAACTGTACAAATTATTTTCAGCAACAGAAGTGCCACTACAGACATCCCCCTACATGGCCTGGAAAAGAAAACCGAGACAAAGTACCTTGGCATGACCATTGACTCCAAACTAACATAAAACTCACGTAGACCTACTATGCAAAAGACTTTCTTCAGCCACTTACGTCATCAGAAGGATAAAACAAATAAGTGGAACAGATGCAGCTAAGGTAGCCTATTTTGCTTTTTTTGAATCTCATCTGAGATATGGCATAGAGGTCTGGGGAGGATCCACTGCATTCAACTTAGAACACGTTCTCATCCAACAAAAGAGGACAATCAGGTTTTGGTTGGCATTGGACAAGACAGCTGCCGCGGACCGTTCAAAGAACAAAAGATACTCACTGTGGTGTCACTCCACATCCGTGAAACCATCCTACATGCAATAGCCACCCAACAAACCAGTCATAGGGACTTTATCAGACATGCATTAGATTCAGCCTTCCAATCCACAAGCTATCACTTACTGAAAGAAAACCATCCTAAAAATGAGCTAATACTCTAATCTCCTTCCAGAATAACTGTGACAGTTGAATAATTCATCCACTTTCAAGAAAAAACTCACAGACTGGCTGCTGGAAAGACCCTCCTACACCAAAAAAGAATTCATCTCAAGACCATAAAATGAAATGTTTCTGTAATACACCTGTAAATATGACGCTGTATTATTCTCAATGATTATTTATTATGCAATAAAGTATTGTCTATTGTGTGTGCAAGCAAGAGTAAATAGTCTTCTAAACTGTCAGGTACCATAACTGGTGGTACACCCCACTTACTTGAACTTTGATGCAGGCCAGTTTCAAGTTTACTTGTGTTGCGCACTATTACTGAATCCTTTGCTGAACTCCTGAAAAAGAATCAGCAAAATTAGGACTCATTGCTACTAATAAGAATAAGGTAAGACTTGTGTACCTTGTATGTTAGGTATGTCTTAGACAAATTATACTACATAAAAAACCTGAGCTAAGTGCTTGGTTTTTAAAATTTGTGGTAATAAAATGAATTAATCACTATTCTTGGTTTGAAGTTGTTTATTGATGTTCATCAGTGTATTTTATTCACAGAATTATATCAGGTGTTTCCTGGTATCCATCATTGGTTAGTAAAACTGAAGCCATAAGAAGTTTCAGGATTAACAACACATGTCAGGAGCGACGAAAATCTTTAATCAACACTTACTACTAAACCTAAGGTAACAACCCATAAGGTAACAGTCCACATGTTCAAGCTATTAGTATTACCATGTCCATGGCCATGATTGACAACTTAACTTGTTTGCTACCGAGCGTGCCCGATCACTGCCACGGACAGAGGTATACAATTTAATCTTACACATAAACCGGCTGTCTCTTGGTTAACAGTACACACAGACCACGGGCGAAAACCTATTAAACAGTGATCATTTACTTTTGATAACATTGGAACACCAACGCATATGTGCATCAGTCAGTCTATTTTAATGTGACTAGCGGTCGCATATATGCGGTCCATGGGTAGAAACCGGCCGTCGCATATGTGTGTCGCTACTTGCTAGTCTATACATTTTATACTATTGTAGTAGCGAACGTGTTAACTTCTTTATTGTTTTTACAATCTTTTTATTGTTTACATAGGTATTTATTTCAATTCGACAGCTTTGACATTCCTGAAACAACGTAAAAATGTAGTGTTCCTATTGTGAAATTAAATTTTTTTTAAATAATACTATCAACAAAATTGTATTATTAATATTTACACACTTGTAAGTGGATTATTTGTTTTTGAGACCCGTATGGAAAATTGTATATTAAGATACTAGGTAGGTAGTTTTAACAGACATGTTTACATACCTAGCAAGATTGTCTTCGCTTGACCTTCTTCTGCTGTAACTTTTTGGTGGCATATTTTTATATGGGCTTTCTAAATACCAATCAAATGAGGGGTTTTCTTCAACAACGTTTTCATACTTTTCTGGTTTCTCATCTTCATCAGATGATAGCTCGTCTTTGAAAAGGACAAGGCTGGGACTTTTATTAGGTTTAGACATTTTTCCACTCATGTCCTCATCACCATTTGCAGCATTTACTTCATTTACAAACCTCCTTCCTCTCTCCTTCTTCTTTCCTTTTGTTGAACTTTTGTTTGCACCCTCTATTACTTTGATTTCACCTTCATGCGTAGTTTGGCTAGTTGTTATTGTTGAATCGAGTTTGAATTCACTGCAAAATGAATTTTCAGTGTTACTTTTCCTATATTTATCATGATTTTCTTTCAAATCAGTTTCCTCATCAAGTATTGTCGTTTTTGATTTTCTTTGCTGTAATGTAATATGGTGATTTGTATTACTCCTGAACATCACAGGCTCCTCTTTAACATAGTAATTTCCATTACTTACTTCTTCAAACCGAATTTCACTGGTGGACACAATATAATCGGGAAGAATATGGTTGTCCTGTTCTAAGTTTGTAATTGAATAATCTTCAGTGAATAAACCATTTTCTTCAGACATATTACTTTCCGTATCTGTTTGTTTGAATGCACTTTTTCGAGGAACAATCTTGTCTTCAACTAAATCAAGAAAAATCTCCTTGTTCTTATCTTTTGAGCCCACAACAGTAAAGGGACAATCTTCCATTATCAAGTCTGGCACTATTGTTTCAGGTTCACTATCAACATTAACGAAGATTCTTCTAGATGACGAGGTAGAAACTCTTTCTCTTCGCATTTCATTCTGGTTCGATCCTTGAACATACTTCTTTGCCACGGTGGTATTTGAAATTACTTGGGAGTTTTCCGACTGCAAACTCTTTTGGTGGACTAATGGTGTTGAACATGGTTTTTTAGAAATTTCAATTTCAAGCTCTTTGTTGGGTGATACTTGGGAGTTTTTCCTTTGTGGGTCCAATCTTTTAACTGAACTGGATTGTCGAGACACAGTTGTATCTTGACCATTATTTATGGTTCTCTTTTCTGATTCAATAAGCCTTTGAGGAAGATCTGGTTCGACTTTTACTCCTAAGTCATGGGCTATGTGGTGTGTCAAAATATGATGTTTAGTTAGTTTTTCATCGCTGCTGGTCCACTTTGTGCAAAATTCACAAAACCATTGTTTCGATAAAACTTGCTGTGGCTGAAAAAAACATTTGTATAAAAATACATAAGATTGCTACATGATATATTGTGCGCAAAAAAACTGTCAAAATATTATGGTCCTCTAAGAAGTTGTGATATAGCAAAAAATTATTTCCTCCTTGATAGCACTGAAATATTAGCAATGAGCCTAGTGGATATTTAATTAGCCTATATATAAAACGTTATTCATTGTTACACTTGTGTACAAGAAATTACCAATTTTTTAAACCACTTTGAGGTTATTCATTTCAGAAGTTTTAAGCCTATGTGGTTTTTCATTTGTTTTGACTGTATATTTAATTTTGAAATGGAAGAAACAATTATAATTTAATTCATGATAACTGTACAGATTTTTAGTCCACATTGTAGAGCATAACTACAATCAATGTGAAAAACCTCTTCCACGTAAACAAACAAGTACAAGCGACTATCTTTGCCTTCTAAAATAATTCTGAATTTTAATACATTCATTCTCCTGTAGCCTTTGAACCAATCCAGATGATAAAATATTCCAAAATTTTAAAATCCATTCGCCTAGTATCTCTAAATCTCAATATTTTAATTGCATTGCCTTAAATTTCATCCTCACATTTTTTAGAGTTTGAATCAACCATTTGTGATCACCAACAAGCAACATAGCCAGAAGATTACAATCATTTGATTGTATTTGCTTAACAATTTCACATGAATATGAGCTTCAATTCCTTAGGATTTGGAGTTGAATTTGAGATGCTAAATTATTTGAATGACCATCACTAATGGCAACTGAAACCCCCAAAAAGGTGTTAATCATTGAATGGCATTGTCTCACCCCTTTGCAGGTCTGGGAGTGCTCGTTGATTCCCAGCAAGTCCACATCGATGTATTCACAGTCCCGCTCTCTGCTGTTATTGATATGCAAACACGTGGCAAACTTGTCCTCGCGCAGCTCTTTCTCCCAGTACTGTGTCATGTTGCGAGATATATGATTGAACTGATCGGGTCTCTTGTAGAGGTTGTGAGCTTGTTCCAGATGTTGGATCAACTGTGCTACATCGCGTGAGCGCCCTTTGCACTCCGGACAGACGTACAGTAGGAGTTTTTTTTCCTGGAAAATTATTAATACTGTTTAGATAATTCATGGATAGCCTATGACATTTTTTTTAGTAAATTATTGAGAAAATCTTATTCTAAGGGCTCATACTGTAGACAAATGACAAATGACAATGACAAATGACAATTCTTTATTGCACATAACATCTGATAAAGTTATTACAAATGTAATACACAGACAGGTACATTGTCAAGGTTTCTAATAAATAAGGAAATCTAAATAGGTATATAAAAACCTAGGATTTAGCCAGTAAGTTACCCCTACAAAGCGACAGCATGGTGGAACTGTTTATGTTAGGAGAGGTTGATGAGAGATTGGGTGTCTGTTACCAGGAGTCGTTGAAAAATTCCTCAAGAGTGTAATATGCTTTTTCTATTAAAACTGTTTTGATTTTGTCTGTAAATTTTGCTAAGTTTAATTATTTTAAGGAGTTTGGAATTTTGTTGTAAATTTTTAACCCCATATAGAGAGGACTTGTTTCATATTTTTTTTAATTATGAGTGGGGTATTGAAAAATGTCTTGTCTTCGGGTATTATATGAGTGATTACTAAGATAATTTTGAAACATACCAGGATTTCCATGAACCATTTTTAAAATTTCAAAAACGTATATTGAAGTTAGAGTTAAAATTTTAAAATTTCGAAACAATTGTCTACATGATGTTTTTTTGGTGCAATTTGCAAGAGTTCTGATTATTGACTTTTGTTTTTTAAAAACTTTGTGGACATCTGTGGCTGTCCCCCATAATGTAATACCATAGCTTAAAATAGAGTACACATAAGCATAATAAACATTTTTACATACTTCCAAGGAGGTAACCTGAATTAAAACACTTACAGCATATCTTGTTGGACTAAGTTTTTTGTTTAGAAAATTAATATGTTCTGTCCATTGTAGTTTACTATCCAAATATATCCCTAAAAACTTTACTACATTTGTGGGCGAGTCAGTAGTTTCTGATCCAGTGGTTGAATTTCTCAATTTGAAAATTAAAACACTAGTTTTATCTTCATTCAAAAGTAAGCCATTTTTTTAAAACCAATTTGCTATTTCTCCAATTGTTTTTTTGACATCATCATGTAACATTTTAACAGTACTTCGTCTGATGAGAGCTGTTGTATCATCTGCATAAAGGGTAAAGTTACAGATTTGACTTTAAAAATTAAAAGGTAATGAAAGGTGTAGATGCATGATAAAATACATAGCACTTAAAAAGTTTCATCTTAAAGCCCTTTGAACACAAAATGTGGATCAAACATAACAGAGATAGTTATATGACATTTACTGTGGTGAGTGTTTATTGGTGTAGGTCAGATTGTACGCTAAATATTGTCTTCAAAAAATGTGACAATCATCGATCCAAATGAAGGGTAGTTTAGTTTCATGTCATATCTAGGTTTTTTAAAATTGGATTTATAATGTTAAGGTGTCATTATGGTCATTATGGTCTTAAATATTTCCAATAGAACAGTATACTTGTGTCTTTTTGATAAGATTCGAACGATCTTATACTCATTCTTGTCCAAAAAGTTAAAATGGCAGCCATTTCAAATTTTTCCCTGGCATATTTTGATTTTTTCTTATAATTTAATGATATTAATTAATCCAAAATTTTAAAGTTTAGGTAGGTTAGGCCTATCACAGTTATTGAGAAAAAACAATCTTTGAGAAATACAACATGGCGGCTCTAGGAGTAACCCAGGGATGAATTCGTTATGAACCCTTAAAAGCTTGGTAGAGAGTTAAGAACTTAAGAGGCCACTACCCTAAGTATGATTTAAATTTTATTTAAAAAATAGTATTTTAAAAAAGTTATAAGAACTCTAAGAAAGCGGGAAACATATCTAGAATTTTAACTTGCTAATTAAATAGCTAACAAAACAATATACAATAGACTGCTGACTATCTACGAGTGAATTGACCATGCTGCAACTGTGCAAATTAACCATGATCACAAAAAATCTACTGATACTAGATAAATTTACATAATACAGCGACGAACCAGATATTTAGCATGAAAGAAGACCCACTAGCACATGAACCGACTATAGAATAGAGTTGACGTTTCCTTCACCCACAACCAATTAAGTCCCATTTTGTGTGTGTTTTAATTTACCAGGCAAATACAGGCTTTCGAATGCAATTTATTTTGTGTATAGAAGTGTATGAAACAAATTTAAAGGGTATCTACACCCACATACCTAAACCTGTATTGAAGCTTGAATTTTACATTCAAAGCCAACGCTAGGTATTTTCAGGTAATTTTAGGTTTGTACTATCCACACAATTATTTTGAATATCCTTGATCACTCAGCAACTCATTATCGCGGTTATACCTAATTGTGTTGATACCTTTTTGCAGACAAAGTAGTGACGGCACATGTCTGTGACGGAGGAGCCCACGTAGTGACAGTTGGAACACTTGACATATTTGTACTTGTCATAGAACACTCCCCATGACAACAAAGTCACCCGACTGGGCCTACGAGGTTCTGGCTCCTCACCTCTGTAACAAACAATCCACAACACTTAGTTGTAGCACAATAATGAAAAACAGAAGGCATTACAAAATACAACCAAATTTACTAGCCTATTAGTTCCAGCTTTGTTCCCATTTTAGTACCCAGCTATACTTTAAATGGTAAAACATGATATGTTTTCACCGATTAAACATTTTTAAATTTTATACAGGGAAATGGGAAATTATGAAGTCTTTAGATACACCTGTAAGCCTCGTAGGAGTGGGAAGCGGAAGTAATGACGCCAAGTAGTAATGGACATTTAGTTGAGATGGAGCAGTGGAGTAGTGCGGGGTGTGCAGTGGTAGTAAGGGTTTAACAGCTGCACAACGAGTGTTCTGACACCATTATGATATTCCTCCCTGTAATTCAGATTGTTCAAGCTCTAAACCAAATTACGGTGAGTTATGCTTAGATTTTGTCAACAGATACTGACTAACATCAATGAGTACGCAAAGGTCCTTGAAAATGTTTGGATGTGTAATTGTGTTAGGTGCAATAGACAGCACTTAACTGAATGCGATTTAAAAGTGATTTTTAACTTTATTCTTATTTCATTTCCAACATTTCTCATGTATGTGTCCACTCTTGAGCAACATGTTTTCAGCATTAAAAATCTTGTTATACAATTTTCTTTGTTTTTATGATTATTTCAAAATTTCCCGTTTCTCTTAGGGATCCCAGACGTCCTTCATTTCCCGGACACGTCCTCTTTTTAGGTACATAAAAACCGTCCAGGGGGATTTTCGGCAAAACCTTAAATGTCCGGGATTTAGAAAAAAAAATTAATAGATCAAATTATTCCTGAACGCATAGTAGGCCTAGTATTAGTGATTGGCTCTGATCATCAATCACAAAGTGATAAGAATGAAATTGGAAACTAACTTATATTAAAATATTGTGTCACTGTAATGATATCTTATATTTAGAAGTTTTGTTTCCTTGTTTGATCAAATTTTGTGTTGAAAGCTTAGGACTGTTGGCAAAATCAACCCAGCTGCCTCTGCCTCTGCTCACCACCACACATACCAGCGACTATCTAACTACAACTAGCTCCTCGTCTGTTTTCTGCTTACGTTTACACTCCTACTTGCTTACATTAAAATAATTTTCTTACTTCTTGTGTTGTCATTCTTGAACGCTCCTAGACCCTACTAATGCCGAAAAGAAAATGTGTAACTTATTTTCAGTCAAGTTAATAAAAGGGATTAGTTGCAAAAAAAGTTTACTTGATTTTAAAAAAAATCAACACAACTCCAACCTTTTTAAGCAGTTGCATCATCCTCCGTAATTGTCAGTTTTGTTCTTCAAAACCATGACTGTAAATTAAATCATTTTGCTTGTGTTTCTGAAGAAACTGCATTTCACACTGTATTAAAAACATCACCAGAGTTTGGAGTCCATGGATTGTACCACTAAACTCCAAAATGAGTTGTTTAAATAAGACTCCTAGTCTTGCAAAACATATTGGTAATCGAGTAATTTGATACTAGGCATGCGGCCTCAGGTCCGCCAATTGAGCGGAGTAAGCAAGCATTGATATAAGCAAATAACCTTCTTTACAAATACAATTTGTTATTAAAAATACTTGTATTATCAATTACAACCTAAAAACAAAAGTAAATTTTATTGATCAATACATACCTTATTTTTCGAGCCCATCGTTGCAAGCAATTTTCTTGAGCCTTTCCATCTCTTTTTGCTTCGCTTGCCATTTGCTATTCTTCTTTATGTTTTTGATCCTCTCTATGGGAAATGGCTCTATCAGCAAGCCCTCGATGGTTCTTACTCTTGACAAAGCTACATAAGTCAAGCCGAGGGAAAATTCTGTCTTGCCTAGGTCGACCACAGCCTGATCTACAGTACATCCTTGGCTGCGATGTACCGAAATAGCATAGGCAAGATTTAGTGGAAATTGCCTTCGAGAACATTGGACACCATTCAGCTTAAAGGAAACAGTTACTGGGAGGATAGGCAACAACCCGTTGTACAATGTAGGTCCAATATAATTTTCAAACTGTACCAAAATGCAAATAGGGAAATCTTCGAGATAATTTTCTGTGTCGGTAAATTTGTATATAATGTCAGCTACAGTACCAATGCTACCATTACATAGGCCTGCAGAAGTCCAAAGATTACTTCTAAGTATCACACGACAACCTTTTGAAATAAAGAGGTGTTTGTTAAGGCCTTGGCAGTCATCTGATGTTGCATTAGCAGCAGTCATGTTGTTGTTCATAGCAGTGATACACGCAACAGGTACATTGAGGCTTCTGAGCTTGTTCTTATTATAAGCCATAATTGATTCATTGGTTGTGATAATACGTATAGCATTTTCAAACTGGATTTTCTTTCCTAAATTATAGTTCGTAAAACGTGAGGCCAAAATTTCGTAGTCGTTTTGTGTGATACTTCCATTAGCAATATTGTTTAATACATTCCTGAATTGTTGTTGGTTGTCACCTTGCTGTCTCATAATTGTGTTTAGGAAAAATACAGCATCAAAAGAGTTGTATACCACTTTACCAAGAGTCATATCATCATTGTTGTTTTTAGGAATATCATAGAGTGGGGTGTCAAGCACAGGTGGAAGCTGTGACATATCTCCAACAAAATATACAATGAATCCTCCGAGTGGCTCATCACTTTGATTCAGTCGAGCTTGTCGTAAGCGGCGATCCATGTATGAAAGCATTCGTAAACCAAGCATTGATACTTCGTCAACAATCACTGTAACAACTTTGGCAAACATTTCCTGGAGTATCCGCTCAGCTTCTCCTTCTAAATCCTGCATATGTCCACGAGTGCTGTTTATTTTTAGAGCACTGTGAATTGTACACCCATTAATATTGTTTGCTGCAACCCCAGTAGGTGCCATAAGCATTATTGAGCCATCACCAAACATGTTTTTAGTTATAGAGATCATCTTCTTTATAACAGCTGATTTACCCACTCCTGCTGGACCCAGTATCAATGTTCGCTTTTGTTGGCAAGTTTCTAAGTTATTAAGCTGAAAACAATAATGGTCGAGGATTTTCTGTTGTTCTTCATTTAACTCAATAGCTGATAGCGTTTGTCCATTTTCAAGCTCATACTCTTCTTTAGATTTCTGTATGAAGTCCACATTGTCTTCAATATTTGGGTAAAGTTTAATGGTTTCATACCAATCAAACTGACGATCAATATCCCGACGACCGAGGTCGACATCTAAGGGCGCGTTTGATGTTGATGACCCTGCTACTACTTGCCAGTCATAGTAGTCCAAATTGTCAGGAGGAAGTGGTTCATCTTCTGAATCTGATTCATCTGGTTCTCCCTGCAGTTGCCAATGTGTTATATTTGCATTTACATATGACTCTTTCCATGTACAATGAGTCATTAGGTTTGACATGTCCCTAAACGGTTTGTAAAGCATTAATTTTTGCTTATAATACTGTTCATCTCCATCTTCTGACAGTCCTTCTTTGAACTTAGATGTTACTCGCAATATTTTATGCTTTTGTAATCTCCTATTTCTCTCAAAACTCGTTCCGTACTCAAAGAGATTTACATTTTCCAGGGAATCGGGGCGCTCGATGTATTTTTGAAGCATATTCTTTGTGTTTCCTTGTCTGCTAATTTCGACATAATCAACACTGCCTAAATAAACTTGTTCGAACTGTCTTGAACAGCTGAATAGCTTTTCACCATTGAGCAAGTGATGAACCTCACAGGCGCTTATATCTCTCGATCCGATCATTTTATTTATAAGCTTTGAGAATGCTGTCCGAGCTGGTGTGTCCATTGCTAAGTTTTCAACAATTGAGTTAAATATGTCTTGGTAGTCTTTTGACATTGGTTCACCTTTGGATGCATACTTGCTGATGTAATTGATAATGGCATGTTCACTTGCAATTACTTTTATGTCGCTGTTAGCTCGCCAAGCATGTGACACAAATGTGTTGTAATCGTTAAGACAGCTATGGTTTCGTTTAGGCGTGAACTCAAAAATTCCACGTTCATTAGGGACGAGAGTTGATTCACTTTGTTGTTTCTTTGGGTAATTGAAACGACAAACACTTTTTCCATGTTTTTTCCTTAAACAGTGATCACCACATCTTGAATGAACTTGTACACGATTAAGCAACTGAGCCATTTTTTTGCTGTCATCAAAAGGCACATCAGTACATTCTAACCGTGATGGGTGTACTTCAGCAGGCTCTGCCCCAGGATGAGGATCCCAGGCTGATATCAAATTATCATAATAGGCGATGAACTGGCTTATTTCCTCAGGTAGAGCTGTGGAAAAAGTTCTCACATCAGGAGCTCCCTTAAGCCACAGAACAGCATGAACATGTGGACTCCCTCTGTGTTGATATTCAAAACGATACCACCATTCTTTTACGTCAAACTTCTCTTCCAGAATTTTAAAGAAAATCTGTACACGCTAACGCTTTGTGAAAACTTCATCTGCAACTTGAGGATTTTCATTAAGTTTTTTTTGCATAACACGACTCATTTTACGTTCGTTTTCCTTAAATATGCCTGGATCCACGCCAAAGTGTCGAAACATGCACGGCCACCAGAGATCAGCACTTGACAATGTCAAAAATAGTGTTGGTACTCCAAGCTGGTTTACCATGGCCTCCAGTTCCAAGCGCCGCTGGTACCAGTAAGCACAGGAACCTCGTATTTTACTTGCATATGCAAGAAGTTGCTAAGGGATTCATGTCTCTGCATGGTATTCAGACAAAAGAATCTGAATCGAGGATCTTGAGCAAACCTGTGATCCTCATAATGCATAATGTAATTGCACCACTCTTTAAAAGTTAGTTCCATACTTTGCGGACGCCTAACGTCTTTCCACAATCCTTGTGCTTTAGGAAAGAGGTGAGGAAACGCTTGAGCTATATAGTCTGAGCTGCTGAACTCATTTATTGGCATTCCATTATGTTCTGGCCATTGCAACACGCCTCGGATAATTTGTTCTTGATGTCTTCGCTGATTAATGAGAACGGATGTTTCAACAACATTTTCATCTTCGATTTCAGTTGTTTCGTTAAACTCATCGGTAATGAATGGTAGCCGTTCGGTTATGAAGTCATTGTTGGGTAACGATTCAATGACTTCATTGTCAAGCTCAATATCTGCATATAGCGGGTTGTTTTGTTTGAGCCATCGAAGAGCATCCACAACACGCTGACGTCGTACTCTGAAATCCTTGTATTCGGTGCCTGAACGCTTGCGTATCAAAATAATGCTCAAGTTTTCCGGAGTGGTTGGGAGTTTGGTCGCTAATTGTGTGATGTCTTGTGGAACGTTTATGATATTTCCACTATAGCGATACTGACCAGGACTGCCCCCGCAGCGTAACTGATACACACGCATCACCGGATGCACACGAGCTATTAGCATTTGCTCGATTTGTGTTAAATCCTTTAGATAAGGTGGAACTACTCCAGGATCCATAAAATTGTCTATTGTAAACTTGCCTATCTTGGTCCGGCATTTGCTGCACACTGATGGACCTTTTGAGCTGCGTAACTCACATCGAGAACATTTGCTACAAGTAGTATACGATTGATCAATGATATCTTTTACAAATTTTTCCCTAAGGCTTTGGTTGTTGTTGTCAGTATGTATTTCACGAAATCTTGCCACATTATTAGTCCTTCTTGCACGCCTTCCAATGCTTGGCTTTTTCCTAACTGGCATTACAGAATATAATAATCACACGTTGTAGTTTAATAAAATTAAATTCACAATAATGTATCTCTTCAGTTAGCCCTAGGCCTACTTTGAGTTTTGTTTACCTGCCATTATGTTACCAAATAATTATAGTTTAAAAACATACTCACAAGAACAAAAAAGATGCACTAAAAATAAATATACAATTTAGGCTACTCACGTACAAAAACAATCAAAGTAATAATTAACAAAACACATCCCATAACTTAAATTTGTTTTCATGATTCAAATTGAACACATGATGACGTATCATAGCAACAATCCAATTAATTGAATTCTCGTGGTTGGTTGGAAGAGTTGAAGGAAATATGAATCCAGACAGCTGTTTCTATTAAGTCATTGATTTTTACTTTTATATATGAGTAATGGTAAAACTGCGTGTTTGTAATAGCATAAAGATAAATATTATTTTGTCAATATCCTAATAAGCTATTAGGATAAGCTGATATTAGGAGGAGGCTATCTTTTGCCCAAAAGGGATTGATGGTGTCAGACTTTCAAATAAAAAATATATACGTTTAAACAAACGGACATAAATACTGAACATATATTTACATCATTGGCATGTATAGCTGTGTCTGCATTTCTGTACAGAGAAAATTATTTCCACACTTATAAGTTATAAATTGGACTCTTAAACAAGTTTAGTTAAATATTTACTTATTATAAATAGCTATAACTGAACTTCTGCCTAGCAGTCTATGCATTAGGCCTACGCATCGTAATCTTAACTGTAAAAGCCTAACCAATTATTTACACGCCTCAGTTAAAAGTGGACTTCAATAAAAGCCTAGCAGTCTATCTATGCATTAGGCCTACGCATCGTAATCGTAACTGTAAAAGCCTAACCAATTATTTACACGCCTCAGTTAAAAGTGGACTTCAATAAAAGCCTAGCAGTCTATGCATTAGGCCTACGCATCGTAATCGTAACTGTAAAAGCCTAACAAATTATTTACACGCCTCAGTTAAAAGTGGACTTCAATAAAAGCCTAGCAGTCTATGCATTAGGCCTACGCATCGTAATCGTAACTGTAAAAGCCTAACCAATTATTTACACGCCTCAGTTAAAAGTGGACTTCAATAAAAGCCTAGCAGTCTATGCATTAGGCCTACGCATCGTAATCGTAACTGTAAAAGCCTAACAAATTATTTACACGCCTCAGTTAAAATTGGACTTCAATAAAAGCCTAGGTAATTATTTATTTATTGTATTGAATATTATTATAGACTAATATTTACCACAAAACTAATAGCAATAACAACAATTAAAAGAAATAATCTGCTTGGAATAATTCAGTAAGGCCGCCAGAAATTATGCGAATCGGTGTATTGTTAATCAACGCTTAATGGTATTCATCGGACTTCTTTTCTTTTGTACTGTCTCTTGTAAATAGGCCATATGTGCATGTGCATGCTGAGGTGCCCGTGGGTACAGAATGTCGAGTCGCATACTCTTACGCTACGATTCTTTGTTTACATCTACGTTGTTATCTCGTAACCATCATGGCAACTCATAAGACTCATGTTAAACATTGCAAATTTTATGTCAGTCTTAAATTGTACAGGTATCATCAAATTTAAATTTGATTGTTTCGAAACATCAAAAATATTTGTCGAAATACCCCTGGTAAGTTTGGATTCAATATGTTCAGCCGTTATTGAGTTAATTGATTACATAGTTTGCATAAGGTCCGATCTCAAAGAGCTTCGCTCGCTTCGCTCGCTCCGCTCAATTAAATGAGGGGGGATCCAGTAATCCAGACAAAAGTATTGGAGTTAAAAGCCTAAGTTGCCAATTTTTTTCAACAGCATTGTTAACATAAGCATGTCTGAATGGAAATTAAAAGCAAATATTTTAGTGATAGTAAATTATTGGCTAGCAAATCATATTTTCTAGTTTGAAATTTCTAAAACTTACAATATAGGCTAGGCTATGTTTTTAGGAATTGCCAGACGAAATTCAGTAAAAAAAATTCATGATACTGAAAGTTCCAGTATCTATCTAAAATAGTCTAAAAAAAGTTTAAAAGCCCTAAATCGCATTAAAGTAACTTAATTCTAAATTTTAAAAAAATTTGGTGACCCCACCCCTCTCCAAAGCAAGTTCCGCGAGTCATAATTGTCCTCTTTTTTGATGGAGGGTCTCTAGGAACTCTAGTTTCTCTGCGCCACTCTGTATGTCTTCTTGCAGTTTTTTTCATGCTGAATCTGATAATGTTATCATTTTTTACTAGTTCTAAAAGTCTCATAAGTGTAAGAAATGTTAGTTTCATCAAGCAGTTATGGTGGTTTGTACGTTCCAAATTAATTTACTCCATTTATGCATAGGATCGCAAATAGTGGGTTTGTTTGTTTCGCATCAGATATAAACAGCTGTTTGCTCTCCACATAACTTCCTCGCCACTTGAACTTTGAATGGTCCAAACCACCATGATACAATCCAAACTGCTCAATTGATGGACCTTTTAAAAATTTTCTATCTTTGATTTCACTTAGGACTGATAGTATTTTCAAAATCATAGTAGCTAAATAAAACTTTGAGTGGACACATTAGGCCTATTTTTTAAATCGGTGAAAGTATATTCAATATTTTACCATTATGTATGTATTTTAAAGTTTGGTAAAATTGGTGGCCAATTGGCTGTAATTAGGCACTAGAAATTTTTTTTATCAAACAAGGCTTGTAATTATGGTAATCAAACTATACCAAAGACCTGGGCCTGTTTCATAATAAACTACAAACTAATATTAGTAGTAAATCAGCAGATCACCAAATGCAGTTTATTAAATGAAACAGGCCCCTGAACAAGATTAATGACTGTCTATTGTACATCAATAAAAAGTATTGAAAAGTATGCAAAAAAAACATTATAGAATAGTGACTCACTCAGCCACTGTGTCTGTTTTAGCCGGCGGGACCGAGATGTTGTGTGCTCGTGCTCGGTGTTCCTGTAGCTTCTTCTTGGAAACAGTACAACCATTGCAGACTTCGCAAATAAAACTTGTAGAACTGTTATCCTGTTAAGACAATATTTTTTCATGAGTCAAAATAACAATAATTAATACACAGGATAAAGCCACAAAATAAAATTATCATGTTAATTATGCTGTATTCACTGGTCTACGACTGATACAAGTTTATGTAGGATATTTAACATCGTCACTAACACCAAATCTCACACCTTTAAAAAATGCTAGGTTGAGGTGCTGTTGCTGGGTTAGAGTGTAGAGAAAATAGACGGGCCATTTCAATATACCGGTACGGCAGTTGAGATGCGAATGAACAGGGATTTTAAACACCCAGATATATCGGGTGCTTTCCAGAAGTAAAAGGCTCGGATGGACAGGCTATGCGTGGAGGAGAGTCAGATACATCAGATATAAAAAAATGAATTCCTAGGAGTACCACAAGTAAGACAACCACTTGGAGGACCAAGTAATGAAAGACTTCTTCAGACTGGAGGATCAATATTAGAAGAGGAAAGGGATAAGAGAATGGGAGGCCAAAATCCTCTTAAGGTTTCAATGCCACTGAGGTAAAAAATAAAGTACTATGTAAGTGATAGTGTGCAATGGAAGGTGATGTAGCTACTGTAGCCTACTTTATATCCAGTAACCAGTGAGTGTGAATCGACCGCCAATATCACTTCAAGGGTTTTCAAATCAACACTATCACTATTTCATTGTAAAATTATCGGATTTAAAACTCATATCGTACATAGGCAGAATCGGATGAAATAAATAGGCGATCAAGTGATATTTGTTTACAAGATTTTTTCCTTTTAAAAACTACCAGAATTTTTCTTTATGCGTGTAAACTAGCTGTTCTGAATCATATTCAGTTTTAATCAACTAGGCTACTTGATTCCCATACCTAGGACGAGCCAACAGCGAGTGCAATATTAATATCGAAACGAATCAAAAACATTAAGTTAACTTAGCTATATATCGGTCCCTTTTTAATGTGATAATATATCACAGGTTCTCTGTGAAACTGTAGGCTGCTACCCTAGGTTGGGTCGAGTAAGATTGGATTCTTCTTCTTTTAATTTTAGTTTACATTGAATACCGGTGTTCTGTGATGAATGCATAATATGATATGATCATCAAAGTACAGTAGTCTGAGGTTGATAATACAAAAAGAATAGGTTACAGACAGTTTGTACAATTAATTGATTTTAAGATGAAGATATCAAAGTTTTCCCGTGTAACTTATTTAGTGTGAATTACCAGAAAAAAGAAAAAGTTTTCTCTTAACTTCATTAAAGTTTGTAATTAACTTAGGGCTAGGAATATTAGGTTAATCAAATTTTTTCTTAGGATAATTAATTAAAGAAATAGGCCTACTTACTCCTGTACAGTATCCATAGTGCTCACACATCTCATTGACATCGAAAGCCATGAAGTTGCAGTTTTGAAAAGGACATCTAACATAGCCATCTCTCTCTAAGTAAATTAACCAACTGTTGACGTGGATCTTGTTAAAAGCCCTACGTCTCACGTAGGTTTCTTTTTCAGCACTCATAATTTAATCGATTCATTTCTAGAATAAAATTAAATAAGTTATACCACGTAGAAATGGGAAATACCATTAATTTGAAGTAATAAGTTAGTTCAAGAACTTAGCTTTACGGTATTAGGTGAAATAATACTAAGTTAGTGCAGCCTATTACTTTTGCATCACAGGGTCATCTTTTGTTATATTAGCCTACTTCCTTTAACAAAAGTATAATAACTTAGGCCTACAACTTGATTAAGTTTTATTGACTTTATCTATTTGTCATGGGAAAGAAATTATAGGCCTTATTTAGTTATTAACTGTGAGACTTTTAGTAACTTAAGGTTTTCAGCATATAGGCCTAAGTTATTTTCAACATAACTTAACTTATTGCTTTAAACAGAAACCAATCCTTAAAAACTTAAATTAGAAATATTAACTTAATTTTACAAACCATAAAAAGCGTATCCAGTACTTAACTGCAATGATTTATCATTATTAAATAAATAGCCTTAAGTTAGGCCTGCTGTGTTTTAAAAAGGCTCCTCTATCTAATGCGTTTAGTATCACTAACTTATCGATTAATAGGATGGCTTGGTCAGCGTTATACCACTCAACTAACCAAACATGATGTACAATTTCAAAATTCCGTTTGAGAGCCTATTCCCCACACGCCTTCTATGTTATCAAACGTAGGTTCCTAGCCTACAGCAAGATTGGTTTGGTATGTTAGGTTAGTTTAGAATAGTTTCCTATTTCTTAAGTTAGGCCTAATCCATATAACTTAGGAAGTTCTCAATTCGTAATTTAAATGCGTTTGAATATATTGAAACAGAAGGAATAGGCCTATGGACCGCAAAGGAAAACAAAAATATCGATATATCGAAAATAAATCGATAGTAACTTAATGAATGTACCCTTTAACAGGAAATTAACTTTAAGTTTACCATTATTATTAAGTTTATTACCTATTAGCATTATTTCACTTGCTCATTCTAACAATTATAAAAATATGGCTGCACTTTACTTGACGTCCTACACTCATTCGACTGTTTTTTCGATTCGATATTTACATTCGATTGTTTCATTCGATATATCGTTTGGTTAGTTAGGTTAGGTTAACCTTACCTAACTAACCAAACGATATATCGAATGAAGCAATCGATTAATCGATATATCGATCGATATTTTTATTCGAATGAGTGTAGGACGTCAAGTAAAGTGCAGCCAAAAATATAGTGTAACTTATTCTCTTATACGGAATAATTACCTTCATAACTACCGTGAGAACTAAATTAGGTAGCCTAGGTAGGCCTATCGAATAGGCCTAAATACACCAGTGAACCGCGCCACTCATCCTACACTCATCTCCATTCATACTTGGCTTAAAATACCTACTTTGTATGGTCGCCATTGAATTAAAAAGTATTAAAAGAACTGATTATTAAAGTTGCAAATTAGGCCTAGTCTATAGGCCTAGGCCTATTTAGGCTAATTTGATCAAATATCAAATTTACGGAAATTAAATTACTTCAGCTCATGAAATCAAATGGATTTAAAAGCACTGTTTAAATAATAAGAATTAAAACTTAGCCTAGCATACTAGCCCATAAAGAAATAGGCTGTGGGCAATAAACAAGCCTAAGTTTTAATTATTTGTTTTGTATGACCCAGATTCCTCAAGAACTTATCTCTGCCTTAGAATAGTTGCGGGATAATGTTCGTAAAATCTCAACGATAAAATGACTAACTTACAAGATAAGTTTAATAAACACGTGCTTAGAGGTGTACCTGGTAGACAACTAACTAACAGGACATACTAACTCACCCTTTAGACTTTTCAAAATTGTCTTTCAATTTGAATTGATAACCCGAACATATTATGATGTTAGTCATTAATTTTATTAAGTTAAGTAAATCCGAACATGTTCAATGAAGCAGGTTACAACTCAAGATGTACTAACAACATCAACACAGTGTTTGCCCACACGACCAAAAAAATAATCCCGCTTACTGGGTCGAAAAATCCCGTTTTATCCCGCTTTTAAGTCAGTGAAAAATCCCGTTTTATCCCGCATGATTTTTTGGTACAATTCCTAGCATTAAACTTTACGTGTCATTTTTATAAGTTGAACTATTATATTTTGCTACAGTATTCAAACAATTTGAGTTAGTTTTTCTCTAAAATTGAGTAGAAAAAAATAAAAATAGTCATCACAGCCGAAAATCCCGTTTTATCCCGCATCCCGTTTTAATCCCGCTCAAGGTCTAAAAATCCCGTTTTCGGGATAATAATCCCGCGAATGGAAACACTGCATCAACACCATTTGAGTTGAGTTCTGTTTCTGTTCCTTGTAGTGTTCGGTATCGAACATCGATGTTTTCAAAACATCGATGTTTGGAGGTCGATGTTCGATGTTTTACTACCATCGATGTTTTGGTATCGATGTTTTTTTTTGCTGAAGCTGTTTGTCAAAGATCGTAAAATAAATACATAGATAAAACATGTTTTATCTATTATAAATGTATCGATGTTCGTAGCAGAGGAGATGGACAGATTGGAACGGAACAGAGTGGACTGGACTGATTTGGCGTGACAATGGGAGTATTTCAAAAGTTCCAAAATCGGAAGATCCAAAGAATATATTGCCGATCGGAAGTTCCAAAATCGTAAGATCCAACGTTTATATTGCCGATCGGATCTTCCAAAATCGGAATTTCCAAAGGTTATTTAGCGGGTCGGAAGATCCAAAATCAAAAGATCCAAAGAAAATATTGCCGATCGGAAGTTCCAAAATCGTAAGATCCAAAAGTACAGTCATAACTAGAAGTACAAATTTATTTCTTAAAGTAAACTTATGAAATAGACTGTCCTTTTCACTTTGGAACTTGTGATCATATGCCGGGTCGGAATTTCCAATACGCTACTAGTCAGATCGGAACATCCAAAATGCTAGAACTGTTGCGTCTCTCAGATTGAAGGCGTAAACACAAGTCACCAGCAACGTTAATGGTTATTTGTTTTGTTAATTGATATTTTAATTAATATTTTTGTATTAGTATTTTCAAGTACACACACTTAAATACACACGCATTCATACATACATGTATATATGGGATTTTGAAGGCATGCAGGGCTAGTGTTGGTATTGTTTACTATTTATTTTCAAAAGTAAAATAACGTGTTTATTTTTATTCTTAAAAGATGGTTTAAGTATTAACTTTGACAATAACAATACTAAATTATCTGGCAAACGTCTTAAACAAATAATAACTTATTTTTATAGCTTATGACAATTTTTGTTTACTCCGTAAGAGAATCCAGAATAAATCATTTGAAAAATGAAAAGATAATGAATTTGTCGTGGTTTATTTGAGCTGAACTATTAAGTTGTAATAGTGTACTAGTAACCAACGCTAAATATTTGAAGTTGTTTCCGGTTGTTGTAACAAACAGGTAGTTTCAAATTTAATTAAATTGAAATTGTAACGTTAAATTATATTTAGTTTTCCCCACAACTAGCGAATGTCTGCTGTAACCTAATTCAAGTGAAATTTATTTTTTTCCTTACAAAGAATGTGTTTTATCAAAAAATGTAAAATGTTCAACTGTATATCAAACATTTGCGTCTAATCAAGTTTTTTTGGAGATTCAATTTGTGTACCTAAGTAAAAGGTTTTGTTGTAACAATTTTAAGTCATGTTTGAAAATACTTATTGTTCTGCAAACTATCGCTTAATAGTTGAAGATATGAGAATTGACTTATACGACATAGTTTTTTGGTCTTTATATGTGTAAATAGCTGTTCTGAATTAAACTGTTTAAAAAATTGACTACTCGATTCCCGTGCGTTCGACTGACCAACATTTGTACATTAACTCCCTTTACTATTCAAATACTGTTTGCGTAACTGTGATGTATATGGGTTGCGTTCTGAATCACAAGGCACTGTAATTATAGATAGGGCTCAGATTGTTAATTGACGAATATTGTGTAAATAAAGCAATTGTTTTAAATCCGCTTATTAATAGTATGCTATCGTAAACAAATCAATTTAGCATTTAATTTGTTTAAATATTAGTGATATATTGTTATCAAATGCACAACAATTATTTTCAATAAATGTGTTTCCAGTTGGTGTCGTTTGAGTGCACAGGCGTCAACTCAATGTTTCACCCGTATTTAATGGTAGATTGTACAAATTGTAAACACTATTTTTTATAGTTGAAACAAAATATGGACAGGTCTAATTAGTTACATAATTATTTAAATTAATTATTTCATTATAATAATCTTTCCAGTAAAAGATTTATGCTCCAATAGGACTTACCAGTTTTCGGCTTCAACTAATCAACGAAAAGTCTAGTGTGGTACCGGTACCGAGAGATAAATTATGCCCCTTACCTATAAAAATAATCGTATTTTGCATGATAAATGTTTAAAAAAACTGGAGTAGGATCTTAAATATTCCTTTTTTAATTGCATACCTTATTCAAGTTGTTATTAGTTCTGCGATGAAATTTCTATGGTATTTAATAGAATTATATTTGTGTTGTAATAAAACATGTCTGTGTAGTATATTTCTTTAACAATTAAATGTAATTAACCAAACTCAGCAAGGATTAGTCACCCGTTACTATCTTTTAGTTTAATATTTATTTATCTTTGTTTAAGGTATATTATTTTCTACAATTTAAAAACATTTATTAGAAGTCTAATTGTCTAAATGCAAATTTACTTGCTCTTACTGTCCTGCCATGTAGGTATAAAATAAAAAAAATGAAAGTATTGCAGAAGAGGGTTCGTGTAAAGGTAAATTTAATGAAGAATACGCAGCCCAGTTATTTGTTGATATTGTAAAGAGTGTGATATTTCGTTATAAGTCTCTTTGAACTGTGAAGGATCCAAAAAGTAAACAGAAAAATAAGTGTTACACAGGAATTAGTACTGGAAGGTGCTGAAGACTGTACAGTATGTAGAATCATTTGTGTTCGATAACTAAAGTGAACCTTCACAAAACTACAGTAACGGTAGGCC